ACAAACCCACTCGCGCACATCAACAGCCAGGTGTTGATCAACGTGTCAGGCCTCCTCGGCATGTTGGGGTTTCCCATCTGCCAAAACACCAGAGATATCATGGCCACGATCATGATGCCCAGGATCACCACGCTGACGAGTGAGCTGTAGAATGACACGTTCTTGATCTGTCCATAGTTGTACGGAACGCCGGCGATCAGGACCAGAAGCACGTAAGAAAGTACAGTGGTGAATGCAATAAATGCATGATACCAGTTCTTGTGTCGGAGGGCTTTGAAGAAAGATGTGAAAGGCACGCCGTGGAGGTACATTGTGAGGAGATGACGACCTTGTTTATTTCCCTTTCGAAGGCGGCGGTAGGGGACCATGACGCGAACAGCTAGTTCGAATTGCTCCCAGAATGGTGTAAACAGGAAAGAGACGAGTAACGTCATGAAGAAACGAGGTCCAAATTTTGTGCCATCCAGGAATTCCCATCTCACAGCGGTCAAGTGTTTCGTTCCGTCCTCTCCAAGAAGGTTGACTTGATAGATGTCGTTGCCGGCGAGAACGAAGGAGAGGATAACACCGAACAGCGCCATGTGGAGAAGTGTGATCACTATAATATAGCCTTTGCCCCAAGGGAGACGATCAAGCCAAGATCCAGGGACGTGTGCACCGCTTGCAAATCCGGTCAGATCAACACCATCTCCTAGTGAACGTGAGGTTGTTGCAGCTTGCGGAGCGGGCGAGGGTGGCTCATATTCATTTCTCTCAACGGAAATGCCAAGGATGTTAGACTCTGCTCGTACATGGGTTCGTCTGAAGGAGAATGATTTTCCTTGCATCATCTTCTTGACGGCCCAGTCCTTAGCATCTGGGTGAATTCCTCGAAGAATGTCAACCACATCGTCTTCCGAATTACTCAACAGCGAAGCCATCGAAGCAATGCTACAAGGGTAAGTGAATAGACCACTTGGTCGGTTCCAGTTCAACCATACTAGTATTGCAATAAAGACTGCAGTCATGCACAAGGTTGTTTGGAGCCCACGAACCACAGCATAGTTGACAACCCACACAGGATCGCAAAGCTTAGTACCATTTTGAGTATCGCAAGTGGCACCGGCTTGAACAGTCATCGCTTCGGATGCTATTGAAGCTTGAACACTGAGTAAAATGCTGACGATCGTAGTCAGGAACATGACCCAATGCTTGTTCATAGGGTTCAAATCGCGAAACTCTATTCCAGCTTGTAGATACTGGCGAAGGACTGACGCCTCCGCTGTGACCTTTGAGGCTTCCCTCGACAGCTGATAGAACGGCTCCATCATCTTGGCTGAAGCGAAGACAACGCACCAGAAGCTCTTGAATAGTACAGACATGGTGACCGTAACAAAAACTGCCGCGTATATAGTTGTGTCTGTAACTGGGGCTGGTAGAGTGAGCACGAAAGGGCTACTGTCGGAGATAGGATGCACAGTGTCTCCACCTGATCCCGATCCGCCGCCGCCGCCACCGCCACCTCCGGCGCCATCAGAACCGGACCCTGATCCAGTCCCATTGCCGCCAGAAGCCGAACCAGAAATTGCCCCAGTTGCCGTTGCAGCCGGATCGTTAGACAAAGCAACAGCGACAATCGACACACTCCCAGTATCGGACGGTTGTGTGCTCGTTGCTGTACTGTCGCTAGCACTTAATGGGCTGGTATTATTAGTCTGGTCTGGCACAGAGCTGACGCCCGACACCGAAGTACCCAGAGTTGGATTTGCACTGTTTGCAGCTGCTGGCAGTTGAGAAGCCGCAGTCGATGCCGGCAGCACTGTGGCAGGAATTGACGGCTGTGCTGAAGCAATATTGCTTCCTGCGGTAGAATCCTCGGGCGCCTGGGTAGGCACAGCTGCAGCGGCTTGTAAGTCGGTTGCAGATGGACTGGCACTGTTCACCGTCGCGGATGCAGTCGAAGTACCAGTTTCTGATGCCTGAATGGTAACAGCAGGGTCCGTCGTGTCAGTTGCCGTGCTTTCAGCAGGTGCTTGAGTAGCACTGGCAGTCTGTGCGCTATTAGATGGTTCACTTGTCTGCTCGATATCGGTCGTCCTAGTAGCATCAGCACTGGTGGAGATGGTAGTAGCTGGCTCTGATGCTGTGATGGCAGGGGCATCATCAGCAGTAACTTCAGTTGGTTGTGATGTCGTAGTGGCAGGGACATCATCATCAGTGATCCCAGCTTGAGAAGTAGACACGTCTGGCGTTGTTGATGGATCCTCCACTTCAATTATGCCTGATGTTGTGCTTTCAGTAATGGGAGTGGTGCTAGGATCTGTGGTGGTGGGTGTAGTTGTGAAAGTGATTATAGAAGTAGGTATCTCAGCAGCTGGCGAGGTAGTCGATGTGTTAACACTTTGCGTGGTCACTAGATCTGAAGTGGTAGTATCGGGTACAGCAATGACTACAAGTGTGGTAGTGGTGGTTGTCAGTGAAGATGGTGGTGTCGTTGAAGAGATTGTCGAGGTAGTAGTGGTAGTTGTGAGAGTTGAAGTCGTGGTTTGTGAGGTAGTTGTGAGAGTTGAAGTCGTGGTTTGTGAGGTAGTCGTGGTTTGTGAGGTAGTCGTGGTGAGGGTGGAAGTTGTTGGCGCTAAGCTCGTCGTTGAGGTAGTCGTTGAGGTCGTGTTGGTAGAAGTAGTTGTCGTAACAGTGGTGGTATTTGTCGTCAGCGACGTGGTTGTGGTAGTGTCTGTCGTGAAAGGAATGGTGGTGGTTGTGTTTAGACTGGTGGTGGTAGTCAGGGGCGTGGTAGTCGTAGAACTGGTAGTGAAAGTTGCGGAAGAAGACGTTGTAGAATTAGTAGTGAGAGTCGTAGGAGACGATGTCGTGGAACTGGGAGGATCCTCCTCCCCAATTGTGGCATTATAGCATCCAGAATCCGAGAAGAAGTATTGGTTATCTGGATCGGTGGCAGTCTCAACATCATAGGCGCCACCCAGATTGAAAGTCTGGAAAGTATCTTGGAAAAAATAGCACTTGTTCTCCGGAAATTCATAGACCACTGACTGACAGCTACCCACGTTGGTGATACAAAAGTCCAAGCAGATAGTCATATTTGATGACCCGTCACCGAGGTCGAGACTCGATATAAGAGTCTCGGCGGATTGGATATAGTAGGCATCAACCTCCAAGTCGCAAACAAGTCCTGGTACTGGGCTCGATGGTGGTGGCGAGATTGTAGTCAAAATCGAAATTGTGGTGGAAAAGGGAGTTGTGGTGAAAGAGGTCGTGGTCAGGGTGGGGGGGTTAGTCGTTGTTGTCAAAGTAGTGGTGGTAGTCAATGTTACAGGCGTCGTTGATGTCGAGGTCGTTGGTGGGAGGGTTGTGGAAGAAGAAGTATCAATTTCGACTTCGAAACTGCTTGTCGCTATGGTAGTCGAAGAGAAGGTATCGACCTCGACCTCAGTACTACTAGTGGTAGTCGAAAAGAAAGAGGTCGTCGAGGAAGCAGCAGCAACAGTTGTAGCCGGAGCCGATGCCGTTGAGGAATTGGCTTGTCTCGGGTGGAGGGCAGCCACGATTCTGGGCGAACTGGGACTTGGCCCGTCTCGCTTTTGCTGTCGTTGGCTTTGAGAATCCTCGTCATAGCGATCGTGCAGTGGGCTTCCACTCTCAACAATTTTCTGAAGGAGAATCACGCAGGCGACAGCAACGGCAATGAAGATCAGCAGAACAGGCGTCGTGGTCATGAACGGCTTGTAGGGCTTTTTCTTCTTGTCCTTCTGCGACCCGCCGCGGTCCTGCAGCCGATGGAAGGCCGCTGGCATCCTGTGAAAGGTGACGAGAAAAGCGAAAGGCTGTACTTCAGAAAATGGACCGGCCTCACCGAAGGGCACGATGGATCGGCGTCTTTGCTAGCATGCCACGCTGCAAAAACACAATGAAGTGCAAAAGTCCCACGTAGTCGATCATGACGGTCTTTTGGGGCTCTTCGAGCCATGTTATAATTTGGTGCCCTTAGAGTTCGACTGGTGTAACAGGGAAGGAGTTGATACCTCGTATACGACGCGCCCCTTTTCGCAACAGCCTCAGGGACAAGCCTTGCCTGCACAGTGCATAAACACGAAAGTAAAAACTGCATTTCCGTGTGAGAGTTAAGCGCTCACTGGTCCGGCCAGTGGCGAGTACCATCAGCCACTCCGATAGCTCTGTTTCGAGCAGTACCAACGCAGGCATGTTCCTGAGACGACCAATACGAGCTGAACTGGATCGTGGAACCATTCCCTCAAGCGTGTGGTGCCAAGGTTGAACAGCCGTAAATTGACACTAAGACTGGCCAGCCTGATAGGATGTTACCACGCTTGGGAACACGAGGCTTTATTACAGCCACATCGGGGCCTACTTACGCCAGGGGTTTTGTATCATGGTCTGGGCCTGTGGCACCCTGGAAGCCCATCTCGATAACCGCCAACAAATGCGGCATGATACGAACATGGGCTAGGCTAGAAAACAATATCGTTGTGGTGCTCTCAAGATCAGAAGTCGTGTTTCTATTGTACTCGTCCATGAACACAGAAACTCTGGACTAAACTTGATGTAGGGGTTTCCATAGAAATCAAAGCAAGGAAACAACTTCCAGTAGATTTGCACGGTTTTCCGGGCAGATTATCTAGAAGAGTCGAAAAGTATGTTTCGAGTACCGACTCCGATCCCGCACAATACGGAACACGTGCAAACCGGTGAACAAGGGTCACGTGAGAGCACCCCATGTTGATCGCTGGATCAGGCAAGCGAAAAAATGTACTTCTGATTCCGACCTAGACGCAAATCTCCTTTTTTATGAACAGGGCTGCAGGATTTAATTCGGCCCGTCCAGGCTACCGGGTAGTTCGAAACAAAAATATTGTGTTAGAAAGGCTTCCATTGTCATTCGTACGTAAGTAAATATTACCAAAGTTTCTTAGTGTCCCAGCGCCAGCAGCGATGCAACCCGAAAACCGAGACACTCGCTCCCCAGTCATGCCTGCTTTATCGCCAATCCAAGCGAAGACTTCATGGCTCCGCTTCAACAAGAACGCCATAGTAGTGTAGATGCGTTCATAGTCACATATCGTCGTACAAGGCTGGCTAATAGTCTGCCTCGAGTATCAACAATCAGGCAAGGAAATTGTCGTGTGTATCGCCAGACGTGTCACCCTAATTTGCATCACCAATCTTAATCCGTACCCGACTCATGCTGTGCTGCTTCATCAGCAGGGAGCTCATCGGTATCAACCTCGGTCGTACCAATCGTCTCAGGTAAAGCGTCATCGGCCTCATCACCACCGAGAGCTACAATAGCAGCCATGGCTTCGGCAGATTCAGCTCCATCCTGAAGTCGTATGTCAGGCAAAGCCCGCGCTGCAAGAGAACCAGGAATGAACTGATCTCTAAGTCTTTGGATCCGAAGTATCAAGTCTCGAGCCAGAGCACCCATGTCTTCCAACTCTTGAATATCATTTTGGCTAGCATAATTATTGGGATCGTCAGATGCAGAACCAGCAGGGTTGGATTCACTGCTCTCTTGAGCTTGGATACCTTGAAGTTGGATATTGAGGCAAGTGAAAAACTCGACAAGCCCGTCAATGGCTTCCTCGGCGCTCGAGGACCCTCCTGACATATTGTTGCTTGCTCGTCTTTCCTCAATAGGTTTACGCATTTTCTCCTTCTTCTTTCTCATCTTCCTCAATGATAACGACTGCGCCGAGAAAAAGGCATCCGACTTTTTCTTGCATTTGCCTACCTCCATTCGATGCCATCTACAATTTGGGCAGAAGAAAAGCGGTGTCTCTGAGGCATTTGCAGGAGCTGCCATGTGCGAAGCAGGCTCGTCCTGCGTTTGCGGAGCACGACAACCCTTGCAGGGACATGGGGGTTCGAAGGCATCTGTACAACTACTACAGATGTGGATTTTGCACTCAACACATTGTCGCATCACTGCGGTGCAGCGGCGCCGATGATCGCCGGGAGCACGCGTCGTTGGGCAAAAAAAGGACTGGCACCCACGCCAGCGCGGGATCGGTGGCATTTCATGCCTTGGGGGTCGGCGAGGGGCTGAGCTGGGTTCTGGAGTAGGTGGATTCGAGTGAGTGGATGGTGTGGGTGAGCTCGACCTGGAAACAGCACCAGAACTGTTGGATGCTGGTGAATTTGGTCGGAGCGGGACCTCAGACTCAGGAATAGGCGCATGAAGGCTTCTAAGCAGATTTTCCATCTCCGCTGCAGTCTCTTGTAAGACCATGGTGGGTTGTTCAGTTGTGAAAGGCGCCGCCGTGGTATTTGGACTGGGCGCCATTGTTGCGATATTTGGTGCAAGAAAGATCTGCGGCACTGTGCTGCCAATGACTGAGCCTGATGATGGGGCATCAGTGTACCCTTTAGCCAACACCTTCTCCTTGCGTTGTCGCATTAGGTTAGCCAGCACTTTTATCGCCTTTTGTCGAGATTTGTATTCTTGCTTCTCAACAGCAAGATCTTTAAAGCCACAGACCCGGGCCTTGACACGGTCTCCGATGTCATGTTTGAGGCATAATGACGTGAAACACGCTTGACACTTTAGCTTCCAATGATCTGAGCTGTAGCATTCGTCGCACAGCACCCGTGGGACAGAGGCCGAAGGGTGTTCTCCCGAACTTAATGAACCAGCCGTACGAAACAGTCCGTCTATAGAGGACCATCGGCCACCTAGACCATCGCCTGTACTTCTTTGTCGAGACAAGCTAGGCAATGTAGGATCTTCAATCAGGTCTGCCTCTGTTCGATCAATGGTGAACTCAGGGTCTTCCCAGCCATGCCCAGGTGGTAGAGGTGCGGCACGTATTTGATCCGTCTCTCGATGTGAGCTATTTCCAAATGTTATCCCACCACCTCCAGAGAACACAGGCTCAGTACAACACCACTTAAACTTGATGTTGGGAAGGGCATTGGAGTTGACCGCTTGAGCCCCATTAGGAGCACCGGGAGGTGGCAAATCCTGGTCTTGCATAGAGCAAGGAGATACAGCGCAGCCGGGCGCCCACCAGAACTTGTTCCTGTCCTCTTCCGCAGCATTTTTGTTACGTAGGTAGGGTCTGTCAAAAGCACAACTGGCACACAAGGTTTTTCGACAACCAGCACAGTGCATCATGACCGAGCATTGTTCGCACCTTTCGAGAATCTCAGCTGAGCAATTATGACAGGCGATGTTCTCAACAAACTTCCGGTGAGACTGGCGTAGATGTGCCGGGGTGGCCTTTGCTTCCGGGCCTGTACCGACGGGTTCTCCGTTGATGGCTTCTTCATCGAATTCCCAACTTCGAACATCACGCTTTCTTTTCTTTTCGGGTGAATTGGAAGAATCTCTCGGGGGTTCTGTAGGGCCAAGCCAATTCCTACTTCGCCAAAGTCGATCATAGACCACCCAGACTTCCCGTGGATCCTGTGGCATCCGCATTTTGACATATCCCCGACGACGATAACAACGTGCACCGGGTGTGGTGCACCAAGCGGTGTCGGTCCATATACCCAGTTTGTGACATGTCAGCACGAGTTCGTGGGTGGGTTCGGAGTCACTTTCTTTGCGCGCCAGGCTACTGGGAAGATATGGTCTTCTTCTGTGATGGCGACATCTGTAGGTGTACAAGCTCTTCAGTGCAAGTTGTCCGAAAGGTGGAGAGCCACGGGCGGGTGGAGGTTCACGAGCGCGTGCCAGTGCGTGGAGTTGCAGCCACGGGTTGATGTGGTATTTGAGGGAGACATTCTTGCATCCACGAACAGAGACATGGGTCAACGTGTCTCTCCTTAAGACGAGAACGGTAGAAGTCAATGTTGCGCCGCTAACCGCTGTGTTGTCCAGCTCGAGGCTGACCAATCTTGTGCTGAACGGATTGATGACGTTGAGCAGGATTTGGTCGAGTGCATAATTACTAGACTGGCGTGGACCAACTCCGGTACTATTATTCGTGGCCACAGCAGTGGAGACGGAAGGCTGATATAGACGCCAGGATATATATCGCCAGGAGGTCGGAGATCTACAGAAGAAGTCTCTCAAGAATGGTGAAGTTTGGTAGAGGTAGAATATGGACGCGGTCGACAGCTGCGCGAGGAGTGACTCGAGGATGGGAGGATTGCAAGTGATTAGCAGCTCAAAGGCCGAAAGATCGACTGGCAATTCTGGCTGTGTCGGTATGGATGCCGTTGTAAAGGGAGATGGGGAGGGAGAGGGAGAGGTTATGGGCGGCGTGGCCATGATGTGGATTGTCCTGGGATACAGCCGATGGGTAGTTTAGAGATAGACTGCGAACACATAATTCAGCTGCTAAATACGAACACAGGAATAAAGATGGACGTTAGATAGCAGGCAGTAGTAGTGTCAACAATGCACTTAGGTGAGGCTGTCGAGACTCGCCTTACGAGTGCTGGTGACGGAGTGTAAAGTGGTTGATTCTCGAAAGGCGCAGGCAGAAGAAAGAAGTCACTGCTCATCATGTGACTCCACAGGATTCTGATGCAGGCGCGGTAAATTAAACATGACAGAGTTTGGGGGAGTGACAGTTTAGGCACCCAGAGGTAACTGCCTTATAGCTTTGGGTAAGCTCGCCACCTAACCGGCACCGGGGGCACCCAGAGCCGCCCTTAACTTCCTCCCCCAGAGCTGGGCTAGAGCCCATTCTAGGCTGCCACTAAAATTAAGCCCCAAGCAGCCCCTCGGCATCCCTCGGCATCCCTACTCCCCACAACTGTTCGACGACCTATTGGGCCTGGGCCCACCTCTTACGAGCACTCCTAGGCGTCTAGATGGGCCTAATATGTTCCAACTCATGTCTAATGCCTATGGCGTCTGCAACAGTTCTTTCAAAGGGCAATGCCTTGGCGACGATACCAATCTAACTATCTAGTTCAACCAGTTGGCAGCGTCTGCACTACGTGTACCTCGTGTGTCTAAGGGGCTTGGAAGGAAATTGATCTCGTCTATACGATTCTCTCATACTATCCAGATCAAAATAAACCCTTAACGAATTCTGTGGAATACAGATGGAGGTGGACGAACCTCGGCTTGAGCCATGAGTTATGACTTGTATGAAATTCAATGACTCCGAGAGCACTATTCAAACGCCACCCAGCTGACATTCATCCCAACCAGAACTCCGAGACGAAGGCAACTGCTCAAGGTTCAAAGTTTCTTTCCCAAGAACAAGCACGCAGCCTTTACATCCCCTCCCACCAGCCAGATTGGCATATGGTGAATATATCTTCAAATCAAGGCCACCGAGGGCTACTTGTGCGAACCAGTGGCACTGTGTGGTGCTTGGCATCGAGAGAAGAGGTATGTTCAGATTCCGGAGTGGCGACTTCCACGAACATCTCCTTCGACCCGAGGTAGGCCTACATCTCTTCGTTGCCGCGGCGAGAATGATCGATATGATATTCCGTAGAGACTCAAAAATGTCTTGACAAACTGGAAATTGAGTTCGGCTTCTGCGACTGAAAAGATGCCAGGTCTGTCGGTGGCCGCTTGAGGTCGATGAAAAGATCCACCTCCAACGTCGTTTCTATTCAAACGATTGGAAACAGTAGAATGGATCGATCCATCTTACGATGTTGGAGCGGCAATGCCCGCGATCCTAGCCGGATATTCCAGAAGTTTCCTGACTCGTATGTCGGGATCATCCATGAGGAATGTCGTAATCGCAAGACATTCAGCCTGACTTCTACCACTAATCCACCACTGCTGAATCTCACACATGAGGCCCAACCAATGAGCCAGGATGAGGAGGGCTCTTTTATCTCTGATGATCAACCGACGATGGAGTTTATGATCGATTACGCCCAGAAAGTTGACCAACTTGTTGAACGCGTTCTTGCTGGGGCTCATGCGGCGAAGATATAACAAGGACTCCAGTGTTGGATAATACGGGTTTTCTTCTGCGGTGGTGGCTGTCTCCGCCTCACACAATTCAAGAAAGAGATCGTGTGTCTCATCTCCAGAAGGCTGCATGAGAGTCCGGGATTTGAAGTTTTTGAGATCGGAATCCTGGAGCACAGGCAACCAAACCGAATATTCAATATTGTCTCCTAGAGCACTCCACAATCCTTGAAATCCAGAGGCGATGAATAGCCAAGTGAGACGCGCCTCTCGTTGATCCGCAGGGGCAAAAACAAAACTCTGACTTAGGTCTGGACATGGTTCAGACAGCATAAATTGATGAGTGGCGATCAACATAATAGTCGAAATCAAGGCATCCATATTTTGTCTGGTAGGGCCGGCCTGCAGCTCAGCTCTGAACAGTTGTATGCATCTCTGCCAGTGGTAGGCCGCTGCAAGCTTGCTTTGATTGTTCTGGACAGGATGTTGAGAAGCAGGTAGTAGGTGCCCCAAGTGCGTAGCTGCCACGCCGTGTAAGGCATGCATCAGATGAGGGGTCTCAATGGCGATCGTATACACGCAAGTTTTAACGATCTTTTGGCCCATGTCTGAGCCCATTGAGGAATACGTGTTGCTGTCAAAGTGCTGCAATGTGTGCATGAAAGGGGTCATGGACTCTGGCAGGTCAGCAGTGACCAGAAACGCTGGCATCGACAAGAGGGCCGGACGGAGTGGACTAAGAGGTGAATTACTTCGAAAGCCCATGACTGCACTGTCAGATACGCTAGGCCTAGGTGTCGGTGCGTCTCTACGTCCACCCTGCTTCGGAAGAATCATGTATGTTGTCTCACGGAAAGCAGTCTGATCAAAGTCGCACTTCATGCTTCGAGATCGGCAATTCCCACAGCCAGCGTCTCTCTCTTCGTCGCACTGGAGCACGAAAGTCGGTTAGCACAGCATTCTCAACTGGCAGGATCTCAAACCTCGTACCTTGATCCGCCTGAGCTTGCATTGACGGCAGCCGAGCCGTGATTTCCGGTGCGACCTTCGTCCATGAAAGACATTTGCACCGGCTTGCGTCCGTGGGACTTTGCTGCTCGCGCGGAGTGGAACTCTAAAGACCATTTGCATATCCTTTTGCTCATCTGTGGCGCCATGATGCTGGACATTGGTGGACGATGTTCTTGTCATGGTTTGGGGCCAGCCTTCGCCTGGTTTGGGATGGCATGCCTTGCTACAGTGAACCCTAGCGTTCGACAGCACAGCGAAGAAATTGAGGGAAGGAATACGATATCTACCTTTTCTGCTCTAGGCTCCCGAATAATGGATGTATGGCGCGAATGCTGAGGATGGGATAGACTTTACTGCTTCAGACCATCATCTCCTCAATGCGGAAACTCCCGTATTCTGGGCAGTTTGATTGGCGGAATCCCAAAGTGCCAGCCGAGGTCGCTTGTCTGACAGAGATCGAATGGCCAAAGCTCGCAGTAGAAATCCAGATGTTTGAGTCATTTGAAGAATATCTGTGTTGGCTCCCGAACAGTCTCCACCTTTGTGTATAACTTGCTTCCTTCCCTCTCAAGTTTGGAGAACTCGCACAGCGCAGTGCAGCGCAGAGATCTCTCTACAGCAGGACTCATCCGTCAGAATATTCTAGGCGTATAGTCATGGGAAAGGTGCGAAGATGACGGAGCTAGGGCCAGGGCTGCTGATCAAACTTGGCCATGACACACTCGATAATACAACCACAACCCGAATACGTGTTGCAGTTTTTGTCTCCCCGCGGCTGCCGCACCCATGGCGGAACATCATCATGTCAAGTACAGGTACGGCCATGCGATAGTGGATTGGAGCCTAACCCCACCCCTGATATTCGGTGTATTGCTCAAGAATTGGTGCATATTAGATGTAAGTCAAATTCCCATTATTCCGTCTGGTTGTGCAGAATTCGATATACACGATGATACTGTCCGTATATTTACAGCCACAATCCCATGCCGACCAGGCCGAAAGCAAGGCCAAATACCAACTCTTTCAGATTGCCGCGCGCGTCCATCATTCCGGCGCTATTGCCGGTTGCGGTTGCGGCTGCGGTGTCACTCGAAGTTGTTCTCGTGGCCGTTCCAGTCGACGACCCGCTCGATGTCGAGGTTGTCGTGGCCGAAGCCGTGTTGGTGGAGTCCGATGAAGTCGTTGTGGGGGCTGCAGTGCTGGTCAAGGCGATGCTCGTCTCCTCAGCTGTGCCATTCAGGACACGCAACCAGTTGGCAGCGACTGGCTCTCCCAGGCCCGAGTCCTCGGCAAACTTCTCGATGTCAAATGGCAGTCTGTTGGAAAGGTCTGGCACATCCGCGAAGAACGCCGCATACGTGGCAGGTACCCTGAAGTCATCCGGCTGAGAGTATAACACGAATGTATATCTATGGACACCGCTTCCGCCGGGAGGTGTAGGTGCGAGATAAGAGGCACTCGGAAGGGTTGCGCTCGAAGAGTCTGAGGAATTCTGGATCGCTAGGAGCCCAGTGAGGAGATCATCCGACTCGGCCAAATTCGGCTGGAACCAATGCAAGAATTCAACCTTTTCATCCTGTCCTTCTGGCACGACGTCCTGGTCAATGAGGAAGACGAGATACGTTTCCGAGGAAGAGGAATTGTTAGGTGCGAGGAGCTCGGGGGCTTCGAGGATGCCTATCGAGAAACCCGTGAGTTAGCCATGGCCACAACACTCTGGAACAGACACAACTTACTATCCCGTGGGACGAGGTCACCAGCACTCAGCCTGGTCGTGGTGTCTGCCCAGATGACGCTGAAGCGCTCGTCCACCTCAATTGGAAAGTCTGGAGCGGATTGTGCGTTGACAATGACCGCCAACGCAGAGACGGCGAGGCTGTACGAGTACTTCATTTTGGTTTGAGCAGCGTTCCGCGGTCCACAGGCGACCAGAGGACGCGAAGGCGTATAGACAAAATCAATATATCTCAATGTCGCGTCCTTCCGTTATCCTACGCGCGTAGAGCCGTAACACAAGAAACTTGAGATAGAGATTTGTAGAATCCATTGCTGACAACGACCGGGAGCGACCACTTTGACTTCCTCATCAGGCGTCCCCGGCTGGAGCAGGACTCGGTAAGTACGGGCACGTTCGCATGTGTACCACCGTCAGCGTTAGCGCGAGGTGCGTTTTTAAATTGCCAACGCCAGATGAGTGTCGATGACGCGCCAATCCAGGCATTCGTTTGGTCTATTCTAGGTTCGCCAAGCGGCCGGCTGGCCCCGCGCTGGCTGCCTGGAGATCAGGTCCCCTTGTTCTTTTTTCTCACACTTCACTCGTATCTTTGAGAATGCGATTCCAGAGTACCTCATTCTCGGTGCGGGAGTGCTGGGCATTTTCCAGAGTATCAACTAATATTGAAGGCAAAGAGATGGTTGTCTTGCGAAATTCCTCAATGAGTTACCACCAGGTTCCGTATGGTTTATAGGGTTATGACGGTTTTGCTTCTTGCTCCTTACACGATCCTCACTCGGTACAACAACCCAAAATCGGGTTCGATGAGACGAGTCCTTGGTGTAGGTTGTATCTAATATTCTTTCCACTCATACGGAGAACCATATCTCGCACTGGGCACTTCCGCGATATATGTCAACCCCCTCAAACCCTTCATAGGTACCATTGCTCTTATGGAGTGGTAAGGCGACTCGTTAGAAATGCCGGAACGGTGCATGTGCAGAATCGTTGCAACCCATGCCTACTCCCGGGGTATGTTGCTGGCTGCGAGGTTCATATGTGATTGCTCTGCTTTGCAACCAAGGTTAGAGTCGAACCAAACATGATCTGCAACAACACAAATCCGCTGTTTCTTACGGGAGATAGAATGGAAAGCCGGCCCATTCCACGACACCCGATGGAGCAAATTCCCTCACCTCACAGTGTAGGAATACCGCTTTGTCCTTATGTTCTGAAGGCCATGTCCTATTTCATTTTCACAAAGGAAAGTTTTAAGGTTCCTAACCATTACACAAAACCCGTTTTGGATACTTGGAGGTCTCCTTGCCACTTCGCCGTGTTAAGAGCACTAAAGGCCAGCCCGCTGCTCGATGAACAGAGTGAAGCAATGAATACACATGTCGATGCAGACCAGATAACTCCTACTTGAGCCATTATGCCTAATAATGTTGAGTCTGGAGCCGAACTCCCCCCTCCAGGACCGTTAAGACCAACCCAATTGATGGCATCTGCGATTTTCACCGCCATTGGCAATAGCGAGAGGAAATTCCGGAAAGGTCAGATCGTCGAAAGTTACTGTATCGTTGAACTACGACCCGCGGTCTCGGGCAATCTTGTAGTTTACTGACATATCATCAGATATCGAAACTGCGCTCGTCGGTTTTGTAGGGTCGTACGTTTGGAGGACTTCATAGGGCTGAGAATCCTGCGAACGGTATGGGTATCAGCATCTTGATGCGACTGTAGTCGATGCTATGGTGTCGATAACTAGAACAAGACTATTCCTCGATTCCTCGTTCTCGGCCTACTTAGTATATTGATACGTTCTTGTGACAATACCGGCCGAGCCAGCTCTCAATTGATGTGGAATAGACGAACCGTATTTTAGCGACTTGGCGCACGCATCCTGGGTATGTATGTAATCAATATCTAATCCGCAACGCGGCTGGAGAGGACTTGGGGGTTGAATCCTTGTGAGTCCTTGGAAGGGCGTAGTGAGACTCAGGGGTATTAGTCGAGGGTGCATGCTTCTAAACGATGTTTTCCTGCAGCCTTGTCGTACTCGGTATATATTTAGATACTGTAGATGTCACTGATCCTGCAGTGATCGGGAACCACGATGTCAACTCTCAGTGACTGCCCCCATGTGACTGAACGGTATCCATGTGTGCAATCTGTACCTCATCGCTCATACCGTAGCACAAAGACAGCCTCCCTCCTTTGCAGGCTCAAGCTCGTGCCCTTTTTTAGACTAACATAGTCTCAAAATCATCTTCGTCACGGCGTATTCTGCTTAGAGGCGCTCGAGAGACGTACAGCAGCTGCCCGAATCAGTCGCGGGTAGGAAAGTTCATCCTTGTGATGGTTCTTTTGGTCCCTATGCCCTGACCAATATTCTGGATGGATTCTTCGAATTCCAATGAAGTCGTAGGGCTTTCCTCACTCCTCGATCGTCAGGTGCGGACGAACTGTCGTCAACGCCTGGATATGCACCCGCACCTTCAGTTAATGAGTGTGTCATTCTTACTGCACTTGTGCACGAGGCACAGACTAGAGTGGTCGAGCTAGCAGTTCTTTCCGTTGGAGCTGAGACCGACAGCACACTTGGCATGTGAACAATCAATCTCTCCAGCTGCTGAGACATCATGCGACATCTATCCCTTGGGCAGCGAAGCATCTGCCTCTGGGCTTTTGCCCGAGTGGCGAAGAGATGGTGCAAGTTGGGGGTCTTTTCACCCTCCCCTTCTTTTCCAAGCTCGTTCACAAGTCGTAGCCATCTCCTCAGTTAGTAAGAACATCTGAAGAGCACTTTGGATTTCTTCCCAAGGTTGGCTCATCCCATACCCAGTCCAGGCAAATCCTAATGAAGTCACACTTGCTGAGCCTGAGATTATGGACTGAGCCCAGACGGCCACTATCTGAGCCCATGTGATGCAGTCGTCGTGATAATCATTCAACTCACATGTTTGCAACGCCTCGCCTAGACTCACTTGTACCGAGTTGAATAATGGGCCGTATGTCATGCATGCGAAGACGGACTCGATAAAGGCCAAGAGTGCGAGGCAAACAACATGCTCAATCGTGGTGCTACCGGTTTCTTCGGAGCCCTTTTCCCCAATCTGGAGTGGTGGTATGCGCCGTAGGCAGTCTATGCACTCGTGGAACTCGTGCTCAGGTTTGTACGTCTCGGCAAAATCTATCTCCTCAGCGCAGATCCTGTGATGGCGAGCCTTTTCCAAAAAGCCAATAACCTTGGCCATCCGGTGAGCTATTTGGAGCACTTCGACACTAAGGTCACCTTGATCTGCTAGTGCCTGAAAGCCCGTTGGCAAGTTCTCATATATCGCGAGGTCCTTGTATGAGCTAGGGTGCAAGTAAGTGAGCGCCGTACAGCGAGAAATAGGATATGGCGAGAGCAAGGTTTCTCCAGGCTCGAGGTGCCATGAAGGAAGTTTGCTATACAAGACTCAGTTCTGGACGTAACTAGATGGGGAAAGCTTCTTACTCTGACAGGTATTCTTGTGTGAAGCTGTGAAGCTTGGGATTGTGCAGTCGCCAGCTAGGCTTGAGTTGACTGTTCCACTGTAAGTCCCTTAGCACCAAGGAAAATGTGCCCTCTCACCTTCCCGGTCCTGGGGAGATCTTGAGAATCTGGCGTAGAGCGACCCTATGCATCAACACAGGCCCTACTTCGGTATATGAAATCTGTGCGGCATTTCAGTCTAGAAGTCCACATGAATTTTGGGGGGTGGGAGGCCGAACGTCCATTCCCATCAAGAGTATGATTGCCATCACCGTTCCAACGTCAACCGCGTCATCGCCGGCCTCTAGCTTCTTCCATAGCAGCTTGAGGGCCTGACCACGAAAATAGAGTACACGAACTGACGGTGCCTTCAGGTAGGCTCTACTGATCTTGGCTTCGTAGGCACCCGAGCCCATGGCAACAATGGCATTAAAGAATTCGGGATTAGCTAGGGCAGAGGAAAAATATTGCTGCGCTGTCTCCTTGAAGGAGCCAAGCAGCCTTTGAATTGGCAGAATGGTCGCAGCGTACGAGTGCACCACTGAGATGGTACATTTTCATGTTAGTTTAGCGTTCCGGACTTGTGTTGAGTTCCCGGTCACTTTGACGCACCATATTGTAGGATCGCATCCATTCCTGCCATCTTCATTGGTACTGGCAATGCGCCGAACGGATCTAGCCCACTCAGGGCATTATCACATGTGGGGTTTGATTCCGTATGGCATCGAAGCGCTTTCGAGTCTTGGTAAGAGTTTCCGCCGCTCAGCCTGATGGGATGGTAATTTTTGCATCGTAAATCTTTCGATCGGCGTGCTGATAAAACGCGTGCAGCTTTATTGTCTTTCTTGAGCAATGCGGTGCTCTTATGCACCTGCTTCTGCCTCGAGGCATGCGACAAGATCCGACGCTGTTGCTCCAGATCATTTTGATGTACTCCATTTGCATAGTTGATGAAGACGAGGCCCCGCATTTTGCAAGAGATCCTCCTGCTGAAAGCTCACACATTCAAAGTAAAGGCGACTGGCAACGAAATGTTGATTTTCCACATATGTCAGCAAATCTGTCCTCAATCCCGTCCCCAATCCTGTCGATGGAAATGTAAGTGCCTAGTCGGGCGAAGAATCACTGACTGCAGGGGTAGCGAAGAGACGCAGCTGAGACGAAGGCTTGTGAGCCCTGACCTGGTCTGATACTCAGGTAGGCTGTCAGTCTGGCATATTGACGAGGTTGTCAATTGGCTCGTCCTTCATTTAATGCGTGAGATGTTAGAGAAGCAGAAGATAGTCATGAAATCTGATGACTGTTTGTGATGGCCTGGGAGCGTGTCACGCCTACTTTGTACGAGCTCTTGCGTACCTGCGCGGGATTATTAATCCCGCGGCCTATCAAGCCCGGGTGAGCTCCCGCCCTCCACCCAGCTTGTTGCCAGCTGCACCTGAGCGGCATTATATAAGCACTTTGGGCCGGTCACGGTCGAACTAAACCAACTGCAGTACAAGTTCCCAATGACGTCCATTTTATATATCTTGCAGAGTAAAACTCACCCACGCACGGTAGTGACGGAGGCACCTCCTTCCTTCAAGTCACTGAATGGTGGCAATGGAACGTCCATCCTGATATGCATGTTACTTCATAGTTTGATCACAGTTCTACATAATCCAAAGAGCCTCAAAATCCAGCCTGTTACTACTCGGCGGAGTAACTTCGCCCACTGTTCAAAGTTGCCTTTGCCTCTCAGGAATACCATCGTCAGATGGCTCCGTGTCCACAACATGTATGTAACATACCACTATGATTGCCCGCATCATGTGGCTGTACCTTGAAAACACATCTCAGTAACGCCAAAAATATTCAAAACAGTGTCATTGCTCATCATGAGCGCTTCAGGACCATTGTCCATGCGCCATCACGTATATGTCTTCTCTACCAAGACCGACATCTTCCTGTGTGATGAAATCTCCAACAGCGGCCGCCCGTAAAGCGGTTGGATCCAGTGCCCTAGAAGTAATGGAAACAGAAATTGGTGAGGATAAGAATGAAAGGCAACGATCCGTCGGTAAAGGTATTCGAACTGATTATACGAGACCAGATCAGATTAGCGTCTTCGAGGTCTTGCCGGAATTCCATTAGATGATTAAAAGTCAACCCCTTGGCGAGTTAAAGCGATCGACACCTCAGCATTAAAGAACAGTAAAAAATCATGAATGGCGTGTCTCTGTATGATACCAAGTATCGACATCTCACTAACAGTCTCAAGTCGCAAAGTGGCCGGCGCGAAGTTCTTCCTCTGTCCTCCTTCGCCAATGGTCCGAGACTCTAGACCAATCAACATCACCCAGTCGGCCAAGCGCCCGACAACCGTCGCAATCGACATAGTCGCTCAGAGAGCACGAGGCGTGACAAGCAGGGCAAATGTCGTGAACCTGTTTATGCCAGCTGGCGTTGTGGAAGTTCCATCCCGTCTTCTGGATCCAGAAGTTGCTCACTTCGCAGCCGATGATGGTGGCCCAGTACTCCTCGGTACACGGCCGATTGGTTAGACAGTGATTGCAGAGGCGCAATTCCGCGGGCATCCATGGTTTTAGTTGGGTCATCAGCTCCGGAACGTCGAAGACGGTCTTTGGCAGAAACCCTGCATATTTGGCGGAGAATGGTGAGAGGTGAAGATGGACATCTCGCGCAACCACCGCCATGCGCTTGCACGTTAGAGCTAGTGCAACCTGGGATGGGGCATGGGCCAGACTGTCGTAGATGGTGAGGAGAATCTCATATGGCATGTTCAGAAGCACCGATTCCTCATCTGACTCCTCAGAAGCATTCTCGAGAAGCTAAGAAGGTCAATGCAAAGCTCCATCAAGGTACGTTCATCATCCTACCTCTTCTGGAACCTGGAACTTGTGGGACAGCTTTCTCTCGAAGTCATGTGCTTTCGCTTGGCACTTGAGAGGACGACGAAGCTGTGTATATACCTTAGTTTGGCCTTGGCCAACGCCCGCTGGGAAACCAGTCCAAAGCGACATTGCCAGATGATGATGATGATGATGTTTTTGTTTCACGAGTTGAGAAGGCACAAAATCTCCAAAATCACAGATATCGAGTTCATGAAATAGCACAGCAAACCCACGGATAACTGGTATGAGAGAAATACCGATTCTATATCACGAAATATCGGTCTATGCACCGCCGACCATGTGGAACCTCATATCCACAGTGGTAAGCCGGAAGAAGCACGAAGTCTAGGGGAGGACGTCGCGTTGAAGACTGTCAAGAGATAAGGGAGTTGCATTAGGTCATCGCGTGGCCCGATCCAGTGTCCAAAGGCTAGACCTATTCAGGTGCGCTAGTATAATTGTAGTCTAGCGCAATAGAAGTGCCAGGCCTACTCATTTCTTCTCCGACGCTTTGCCGAACATCAAACCACACCTTGTACAGCCCTATCCAGGGTTTGTACAGCTCGCCATCACTTGACTTTATTTCCGCTTCCTCCTCTGACCACTAAATATATCTTTTCTGCCTACGGGGTACTTACACACAGACCAGATGAGTGAAAATGGCTCACTCCGACTCCAGAACCAGCATCCACTCCTACCGTCGAGGACACGCGTCGTGAAGTCGGTGAAGGGTTCATATCCAGACACTCCCACATGTGTAAGGCTTTGGCACGTATCATTCGACGTGGTCATGTCTCAAAGGGTTGTACATGCCATTAGTATGTTCAAGAGATGGTAATTACAATTTTCCCTTGCGTCTTTCCCTCATAAATATCTCTCAATCCTTCCTCGGCTTTTTCGAGTGGGAGCACTCGCCCAATGTATGGCTTGATTCCCTTTTCGGCCACGAAATTGAGCAAATCCCCGAATTCCTCTCTTGTGCCAGTATAGACGCCTGTCAAGTTGATTTGGTTGACTAGGATTGGAAACATATCGACTGGAACCTTTGTGGCGCCTCCTTCGGAATGAATGCCACAGATCACTACTGTGCCACCTGGCTTGGTAGATGCAATTGAATGATTGATGGTCGCGGCCCCCGAAGTGTCAAACACGGCATCAACAAGACGTGGCAACGTTTGGAGAGGCTCGAATGTCTGTTCGGCACCCAAATGCTTTGCTATTGCTCGTTTCGCTTCTGTGCGCCCAGTTGTCCAGACGCGATAGCCGGCCGCAGAACCAAGCTGTATCAAGGCGGTTGTGACACCTGCGAAGTTTCCATTAGTATGGGTGACAAATAACGGGTTGGAAAACATACCACCAGACGATCCCTGGACGAGAACAGTTTGGCCTGGCCGCAAATTCGCCTTGACGAACATCATTCTAAACGCCGTCAACCACGCGACGCCCATCACACTTGCCACCTGGGCGTTCAATCCACCGGGCCGAGGAACAGCATTGCGTTTTGGGACCCATATATACTCCGCGAGCGTACCCTGTTCAATTTCACCCAGAACGTGCCTCTTCGGATCAATGGTCTCGTCGCCCTTGAAGTCTGAATCACCCAGATTTGGGTAGAGGGCAACTTCAGTACCGTCGTCGAGTACACCAGCACCTTCATTGCCGAGTATCATGGGGAATTTTATCTTGTGCATTCCCAAGCCTCGCAACGTGAAGATATCGTGGAAGTTGAGACCAACAGCCTGCATCCTGACGCGGACATATCCTTCCTTCGGAGGAGGTGCGTTGCGCCTCCGAACGCGGATCGATGATAGGGGGTCGTCCAAATTGGCGCCAGCTGCGTAGACAGTCCAAACCGTGTCTTTCTTGGGGTCCACGTCGCCCATGTCTACATGCTGAATCTTGTTCTCCTTGATGGTGAAAACAAGAAACAACTCAAAAGGTTCCGTGATGCCAAACTCGGCAGCAAAGTCTCCATCCATCAAAACATGAAGGTAGGTGCGTCCATCTGGTAGAATCTCCTGTGCGAGAACTTTGACGCTTGCTTTGTGACCGATGACTCCATGTTCGACGAACAATCTAATGCCGTCCCCTCTGTAGCTTTTCCCATCGTCGGTTATCTCTGCATCAGATCCAAATGCGCTCAAGGCAAGCTCGACATTTGCCGTGTTGACGCCAACTATATACCTTTCCACCGGGCCTTGGGTCGTCATGTCTTGCATTGTCCTGTTGTTTCGTTGCTGTGAGGCTTTCTGTCTATCAAAATTCTTGGAGGAGTTCAAGTTCTGGGCATGTCCAGACTTATGGTATTTATGCTCATGCTAGACCATTCTCCTTTTTGGCCATAGCTGGGTACCTGGACTTGGCTTTCCAACCGCACCTGATCGAAAAGCAGCCAATAATGACGTTGCTTTCTCACCAATGCTTGGAAGCCTTGGCAAGTAAGCACGGAGGAATGGTTGGCTGATGTCACGTGAGCAGGAGTCGAGAAATCCAAGCTTACCGAACACCGGACGAACATTCGGAAAGTGAGCCAAAAACCGGATTGGTGAGCCAGTTCGGCCGTTGGACCGTTTCGTCGAGTTTTCGTCCACACGTAGCCATTCTTACACACAGTTTAGAATACAGTCGTAGGGGATGAAGTAAAATGTATCAGCGACCGGCTCCACATGATTAGACATCTGTCGATCGATCTGGAGCCAGTCCAGCATCCTGTACTGTCTTAGCTGTGAAGCCTCAAGCTTGCATTATCCCAGGCGGTGAGGGAAGTCGAATTTTTGCTGTAGCTCGTCTGTACGCAGCCATGAGAGCAGTTCGTGGTAGGCAGTCTCTCGAGAATCAAACGACGAGCTCGTTCTCTGATCGGGACGTAAGGCATCATTAGTCTCTCGCGAGTGAGCATACTGGCTGAGGGAGTCGCTAGCACTCGCAGTCCCCGTACCCTCACTTGGTGATGACATAGCAGTGGTGAAAGGGTGCAGGGCAATGCCATTCCCACGCGAGATAGCGCCTCGACCTGCAGCTTTGGATAGATCCACCCCTTTCAACCTTTCCATGAGCGAACTTAGATCTGTCAGAACGTTTGAACAATCTCTTGCATACTCTTTGTTGGTGCTGTCGTCTGCATCTAGGATAGCTATCACGAATCCGACTTCTGCATAATCCCCCTGTGCTTGACTTTCCACCAGGATCTGATAGAGCTGTAGGGTCAAGGCGGCATTGAAGAGATAGTGGATGCTCGTGTGTGATGATCTTGCAGGCCTCGGCAGTTTCAACAAGCTGCGCCATAAATGCACATTTCGTCTTGAGACCTCAGCAGAGAGGTCGAGCTCGTTTTGGTAAGAGATGTCGTGGTTGGTTGCTCGCCCGTTCAACACCATATCGGCAGTCACTTTCTTGACGGCGATGAACAGCAGCGGGCGGACGGTAAGGATGACCAACTGAGTCGGTCAGTGAATTCATCTCACATATTTGAGCATACTGACCTGATTGTGTGCCATATGTAGTTCACAGACACCACGGTCGCTTTTCAAGTTCTCTTCGGTATCCTGCACCACCGGGACAAGGCTTTGATGCCAGGATCGCAGAAAGCCCATCGCTTTATGGATGCATAATGTTGTCTTGACAGGTGCATCGCTATGGCGTGAAATGTCGTAGACATTCGATACTATGTAATTAGATACTCTCGCAAGTTCAACGTGGGCTCGAAGGCCAGCTGCTGGAGGCAATCCTCTAACGAAGTCAGCAACCACTGGCGGACATAGGAGACGATTGTTTACCCAGCGTCTCGAGGCAGATCTAGTTTTATGGCATCATCAGAGATGAGGGCTGGCCTACCCATTAGACAGCTCAGCCATCTAGATGGTGTTAGTGTTCAGTAGCATCATCATTTGGAGCTAGAGTTTACCGATCCAAAATGTATACCGTCCAAAAGAGCCTCTTGCCATGCTCATCCACCATCCAGGCTCGGTGAACACCATGGACTATCAGAATATGCATGGCAACACTCACGTAAATATAAGCAAGATCGCGTCGATTATTGTTCAGTAGATAGAAGCTTAGCAGAGCTAGGACGCTTGCATCGTTGACGACAAATGCATCAAGGGGGCTTCCCAGAGAATTCTTCGCTCGAGCAAAGAAGGTTTGGCCATATTCGGATTCCCAACCAGGTGCACAGTGGGGATTCAATTGGCAAGCAACTGCGAAAGCAGCATTGGCAAGGACCATGTTTGGGCTCATATCGAGCGCACCATTAGCATCAAGAAAAGCTTGGTACTCCAGCATTAGACTCTGTGGGTTGAGCCAATAGTAGATGCCGCCTGATTGAAAAGTGTCGCCGCCATCCTGTGCGCAATAACGCAGTTCAGTCAACATATTAAGCGCCTCCTCCTGGGTTGGTAATAGCAAGGGATCCACACTCGACGTTAACAGGGGTCTACTGTCATGAGTTTGATATCTGCCTAGGGCAGATATGAAAGCTGTGTCTGGATTTGAAGCAGTCGGGCCAGTGGAGTCGAATGTCAGGGGAAATACTGTCGCCATGTACTCCCGTAAGTGGTTGAGAAACGTGGCGCCAGAAGATTCTCCTAGGTAGCGCACTGTGCCATCAGGATCCTGGAGAATACGGCCTTCTCGGACATTCTGGTCGTCCTCAGCAATTTCTTGGTCAACATCCTCCAATGCTTGCGCTTGGTGATCATCGGCTGATTGTAGATACTCGAGAAGCTTCAATCTTTCACGGTCGGAAGGGATGGCTTCAGCAAGAGCCCGCTCAAGTAAAGCGCATCTAGATGCAAGAGCTTCCTTTTGCCTCCGTGGGATGGAGACCATCTCCTCTGCCACGGGGTATCGACATTCCCTTGACGACTTGCTGCATCTTTCACATGGTTGGCCACCTGAGCACTTTGCCCGCCGGATATTACAGCTATTGCAACTTGACAGTCGAAGATCCTTGTTAGTTACAAAGCGTTTTTGCCCAAATTGGAGAGAGACTCACGCTTGAACTACTCGTTTCCTAGATTCAGGAGCAATGCGGCTCCTTCGAGGATTGACAGGAAGCCGTTCCATGAGAGCTGTGGGGTAACAAACTTCAGGTGCTATCGGTATTCGTGGCAGTGAGGCCTCATTGGCACGTTGTGACTAAGCGACGGCCATACACACGTCCAAGCCCATCACTTCCGAGTAGTCCCGGGAACATCTATCACCAGTGTAGACTGTACGGAACAGCAAAGCACCTTTGCGTGAGAGTCGGGTTGGAGGCTCAAGACGTGGATCAGGCAAGCTCGCTTAAGTAGTAGCTAAGCGGAATTTATTAGTGCAAGCTTCGGCGAATATGGCAGTTCTCCCGAATCCAAGTTCCACGCCTACACAATAGTTGAAACCACCAGGCTGCCCCATCTTCTAGGCCAGATTTCCAACTTATGTAAAGGCTTACCTAATACCTCCCTACCTCCCTTCTGCCACCTATGTAGGTCAGGTACTCCGTAGGCACCTTTGTAGGTGCCCATGGTGGTTTTTCTAGAGATAACGTTCCTTGTTGCCTAGCTGCAGTAGACCGGCTCCGATCATCGAGCCAGGCCAGCTGAACCAGGCTTTGCTTGTGCATTCTCCAGTTTGAGCATCCACAGCTTCAGAAAAGGTTCCATCCCACAGCATCACACCAAGAATCTTTTGCCAAGCAGTAGACTCTGCCTGGGCATCGCCCGTCATTTGCGCATATCTCCAGCTTTGAAAGTAGCCGAGTGTCCACGGTCCGCGAGTATGGACACTACCTAGCCCACCAAAAGGTCCTTCAGGATAGTAGCCACCCTCATTCGCCAATGAGCACCCAAAGTCCATAGTGTTGTGCCAGGCTTGCTCTTCTAGATCTGTTTTGACAAACCCCCACGTGGAGGCGAAGAGTGTCGGAATATCGTTTGCATCGTGGTAGAAGGTCTTTCCGCCTTTGCCATCAACCAAATATGCGAATAAGGATGGTCCCACCTCTGACTCCTGTGTCAAGAAGTACTTCATCGCCGATGTGCGCACACGTTTTGCTAAAGCGTCAGACCTGACTGATGTTTGGGTTCCTAGAGAACGCTGTGAGGACACCTTCGACAGTCTAGAGGCAGTGTGCCAAAGCAGTATGTGACTTGAGAAATGAAATGGAAATTCAACCGCATCATCTCCAGGTGTTTCGTCCGTCGAAAAGAGCCCAGTTGACTTGTCTTCTTTGGACTCAATCAAATCCAATATTTGACATACTAGTCCCTCAGTTATAATGCCCTCGACAAAATATGTTTCGTCTGGGAATGTGTCCCAGAAGTCGCAAAGCTCTAGCAATGGATAGCATTGTTGATCAAGTTGGAATACCGGTCCGTCTTTCGGCCGACCAGTTGTTAAGTACGACCGATGCCAAAAGCCATGCGGCCTCTGTGCATGACGAAAAATCCAATTCAGATGGCCCTTTGCAGTGTCTTTGATCTGGTGAGAATACAAAGACATGGCATTCATGCCATCCAGGCTGCCCAAGTTCTGATAAACCTCCATCAGAAAACGAACTTGCCAGCTACATCAAGTTAGCTCTCTCCACGAAGTTGTGTTTGATATCTCACTAGTTGTCCCTCATCCAACCCAGCGGTAAGGCAACGTGGTCTGTGAGTATGCACACCGCATTCCCCTCATGTGACAACGGTATGGCGCAGTTTCCAAGGATGTATTCTAGATTCCTGCGAACAATGAACCGTCCGGGTGTTTCGGGAGTTGACCACAAACTAGGTGCACCACGCAAGTCCAAAACACTGCTGTGGCGGTCGACCTTCGAAGTTGTGTATCTTCCAGGCCGCAGTTCAAAAGTGGCCACCAGTTCGAAAGTTGATTCAGGGACCACGACAGCTGATTGAGAAATTTTGCCCTTGGCAGGTGACTGTATATATGTCTGGTTTGAGAGGTGGGCACCAACATACACTTCTTCTCCGTTTATTTCAAAGTGCCCAAGCAGATGAGCACCTAGATTGGGATTCGTAACAGTAAACACACTCCCTGCATCGAGGACCTCGATTCTGTTCTCTGAGTTTGGGATCGGAATTGGGCCACCTTCAGTCAATTGACCATACGATGCCCGATTGATGCTGATACCAAAGTCAATTGAGTATGTGAGCGAGATAGGGTAGGCCTTGGTCGACTTGATCTGTGATGATTGGAAGATCCTTCCATCCTCACTGACCCTCAGTGACGTCGTTATCTCAAGGCCAGACTTGGTTCCGTACACGATTGTCGCCCGCCCAAGCCCATGTTGGTTGACTACAAGAGACTTGACTTCGGTCTCGAAGCGTAGGCCGAATCCAGGACTACCGGACTGAACAGACCTAAGCATACGCCCGCGGTGTTCGCGGACATATGGTGTGTCGTGAAATTTGGTACCATCAAACTGTTCATAAGGTTCTGCAATCACAATTCCATGTTTTGGATGGAAAGTACTTATTTGTAGGATCTCGTCCAGTCGTCAGCCACGCGATAACACGGACACCAAAGTGGGTAATACTGTGCCTAGAGGGTCAGTCGACAGGGAAACTCCCCGAAACCCAATATCAACGGTCTTGGAGCCTTTTAGGTCCCTTGCGAAGTCCATTGTTGTTTTTCCTGCTCATGCCTCTGAAGCCGCCAGAGCCAGGTGCTGCTCTTATAACAGCAGCACGGGAAGAACAACAAATCTATGGAAGGTATCATTGTCCTCCTCATCGGCAATTGACACTTTAGATCCGAATGCAAGCATACGCGTCCATAAAATTATGCGGGTATTGTACCCGAGCCGTTAATGATCCCCCTAGCAGTGGTTTCGTTGCCCGCGCATTCGAAAACTGCCTCGATGGACCTAACAAGTAACTCAGTGGCTGAAGTCCCGCCCCCTCAACCAACCATCCCAAGCTTCGTTCCGCTGAACTGCAAACCTAATCCACAGGGGACTAAGCGAAATGCAAGTCTCAACGACCATATAGCTACGGGCGTGCAGGGGAGAGCGGTCGTCCTGCGGCTACAGTACCCGGGGTAAATGCATGATTCTTTTCAGCAAAGTATTGATATGGCATGAACATAAAAGTCGAGCCGGGACTCCTTCACGGAATGCATGTTCTCAGAGTGTCGACCAGATTTGAAGAAATTCTCTCAATCACTTAGCATATTAAACATTGTCAACTTCACTTTTAGATGGCTACAAGCAAGGAAAAGTCGGGCTCCGACCATGTAGAGTCAGGCTCATCAATGCTTCAGGCCGAACCGCAATGCAAGGGAAATGTACCAGCCGGACATATCCCCGTGACAAGCGAGGAGAAGGCATTAAGTCGAGCCTTGAATCGCAAGCTTGATGTGTGGTTGTTGCCGTTTCTATCACTCTTGTACCTTTTCAATGGTTTAGACAGAGGGAACGTCGGCAATGCAGAGACACAGGGTCACTCATACGCCGTGGATTAATCATCCATCAAAGCTGACCGTGATTACAGGCTTCACAAAGGACATCGGCGCTCACCCGGATGACCTCAACCTGGCGGTGAGCCTGTTCTTTATCACGTTCGTCCTGTTCCAGCCTCCCTCGGCAGCCGCTGGGAGATGGTTGGGCGCCAAAAATTGGATTCCTATCATTATGGTAACCCAGACTCACTCATGTCTGTGGCTAGGTGTCTAATGTTCGTCAGTTCTGTTGGGGTATTCTCACCATCTCACAAGCATTCATTAAGGGCCGTGGTAAGTTGGCGCTATTTTCACTGCCTACGCATGCATATATTCACGTCTCACAGGTGCTCTTATTGCCACTAGACTCCTCATCGGGATGTTCGAGGCAGGATTTTACCCTACCGCTGTGGCATATTTGTCTACGTTCTACACCCGCTTCGATCTTGCCGTTCGCATCGGGCTGTTCTACGGTCAATATGCAATCGCTGGCGCGTTCTCGGGCTCAATAGGTAGCAAAATCCACGACAATTGAGCCGAAGTACTGTTGACGTTAAAACAGCATATGGTATCTTCCACCTAAAGCACAGCAGCCTCAAGAACTGGCAGTACTTATTCATCATCGAGGGAGTCGCAACGTGTATCATTGCTATTATAGCATGGTTCTGGGTGCCGCTTGGGCCTGGGAGTGCTTGGTTCTTGAACAAGAAACAGCGCGCTTACGCCGCTGAGCGTATACGTCTTGACAACGTCATGTATATCCAGCATTCATATGGCGAGAGCGGCATCGAGAAAGAGCGACTGACTAAGCGGGATGTCGTGGAGACTGCAAAGGATTGGAAATTATGGTATGTTCTTTTCTTCAACATACTGGCCAGCGTCCCCGGTCAGGCCTTCTCGGTCTTCCTTCCTCTGGTGGTCTCGGGTCTTGGTTATTCGTCGATAGAGGCCAACTTGGTAAGCTTCCGTCGAAATTTAGGTCTATTCAGGACTGATGTGCATAGATGTCCGTTCCGCCTTATGTGTGCGGCGCTGTTGGCCTTTACATTTTCGCACTGAGTTCGGATCGAAGGTAAGTGTCTTCCCACCATCGTCTTCACCTCTCTTTCTCACTCGGGTAGGATGGAGAGAGGGTACCACATTGTATGTGGCCTTCTTATTGCACTCATCGGTCTCATAATCACGGTCACCGTCAAGGGCCACGGTGGTAAATATGCAGGGCTGTGCATTCTACTCTTTGGAAGCTATGTATCTGCCCCATTGACGGTCGCATGGTTGAGCGGAAATACCCCAGGCGAGACGATCTACTATCCGTTCTTGATACAATGCTAACTTTGCCTCAGAACCTGGAAAGCGAGCTCTGGTGCTCGGCGTCAATGGCTTTGGGAATTTATCTGGAGTTATTGGTTCTCAATTATTTCGGAAATCATATGCCCCTGGGTATCTCATGTCAGTGGTGCATTCTAATCTATTTTCCACGAAAAGGAATTTTGCTAACCGTGCTCGAACTCAGACCCTTTTATGCTACCCTTGCGTTCATCGCTGTGGCACTGGCTGGCTATGTTGCTTACAGGTTCACCCTCGCGGCGGTGAACAAGAGGCGACAACGGAAAGTAGAAAGCATGACACCAGAAGAAGTCGAAGAAGAGAGGACTACGCCTCTAAGATATGCAGACCGCAAGTACACTTTTACCTACGGCCTCTGATTGAGGTGTGAGATAATCGGCCTTGGGCTTTCTCAAGTTGCAGCTTATGCTGAGTCGGAGCAAGCACTCAACTGGCGAGCAAGCCCCGAAGAATTGGGCTCTATGAAAGTGTTGATATGTCTGCAGAAAAGTCTAGATATGCGCATTTGCTTGGTAAACAGACGTTGCGGTCATACCAGGATGGATGGGACTCGAGTAATTGTAATGCTAGCACTTCAAACTACATGATACTCATCCGCAAGGCTGCTCCCCTGAGTCAGGGGTCCTTTGGGGACAGGGGCCAACTTATTACGTCACCGCGAACTTCCCATCTGGGTGCCAACGACCAAGCCCTCCCTCTTCTGGCATCATCTCCAACTCTGACAATTCAGGCAATTACTCGTACGGAGTACACGCCTCCCAACTAAACTTACTCCTCATTGACAACGACTCGCCTCAAAGCCTTTAACCTCGGCACTCCGCGACAATTGGTTTAGGTAACCTTCATGCCTTGCCGAGATGTGAGGCTGACAGGCCCAATAGACCATGGGTAATGCATCATAACGACGCACTCAGTAGTTCCATCGTCTCGCATTGCACTTGCGACCGAGTCCGGCCGAACATGTCAGCACATCAGCTAGATTCCTACCCCTCCAAATCAAGAGCATCTTGCCTTGAATTTCCCTTTAAGATCCACACTTTGCTCTCAAGGCTCTGGTGATTACTGAGAACTACGAAGACTCGCTCGTTTTGAAAAGGACGCTAATCTCCTCGGGTGTTGACGAGTGGGTTGAGCTTGGAAAGACGAGAACCAAGATAATTACCCATCCTGCAGATTAGACCGCACAAAGATGTCGAGTACAGGTGTTCCAACGACAATGCTGGCATGGCAAAAGCACTTTGGGAGTAATGAGCCGGTACGTACATGGTAACACTACGTTTTGAAGAGTCAAATCAGTCGATACAAGCAGAGTGCTGCCGTGTCGTACTCATTCATAAAATCGTTAGGTTCGAGTCGAAGTGCCGGTTCCGTCACCTGCAAAAGATGGGCTCTTGATTGAGATCCACGCTGCAGGAGGTATTGCTCTCTCTTTATCTGAGACACCCATTACTCACTCAGTCGGAATCTAACAGTTGTTCTTCTCCTACAGTATGCCACAGCGACTTTGCACTCCTGCAGACTAAAAACAAGCCCAGCGGGTATCAGGACAAATACACACTCGTAAGTTCATGGAAATTTCTGGCCTATTGATCCGCCCTGGATTTCTGCAGATCAGGCAGTCGGGGGAACGAGTGCTGACACTGGTGCCTCCACTGACAGGGCCACGAAGGCTGCGGCGAAGTCGTGGCGGTCGGGGCCGAGGTCACGGAGTTCAAGGTTGGCGACATGGTGTCGATCCTGGCGGTGGCGGGCTGCGGCGAATCCAGCTGTTCTGAGTGCACGAACGACGTGAGTCAAATATGCGAGACAGGTGAGCATTATGGAATCGGACAAGATGGGTCGTTCGCCCCATACATTGCGATCAAGGCGCGGGCGGCCGCCAGACTTCCTGAGGGAGTGAGCGTCGCAGCGGGCGCCGTTGCGACGGATGCCGTGCTGACGGCTTATCATGCTGTCGTGGGGCGGGCGCAGGCTGAGAAGAGCGATACGATTCTCTTGTATGGACTGGGCGGGCTGGGCTTCAATGCACTTCAGATTTTGCTCGATATTGGCTCGAGGGTCATTGTCGTGGAGAAACGACAAGCGGTGCTGGACGAGGCTGTCAAGTTCGGGGTGAAGGCCGAGAATGTTGTCCCTGCTGGTACGAGCAACGTCACGGAATGGGTTGAACAAAGAGGCTTGGTCGTTGATAAAGTGATCGATTTTGTTGGGACCTCGGATTCTTTCAGAACATCACTCGACTGTGGTAAGTTCTTTCCCTCTCTGATCAACTGTGTCTTGAAAATCCACTCTTACTATGTGCAATACTCTCATGGCGATTGCAAAACATTTCACTCGCGCGCTCCTCGCCCCAGAAGCTGACATTGCCATCATTACAGCCCGTAGAGCAGGGACTGTCGTGCTTGTTGGCCTGCTTGACCCCAGTATCTCCTTCAACTCTGTGAGCGCAGTGCGCAAGCAGCTGAATATACTCTGCAGCTACGGAGGGACTCAAACTGACCTTCGAGCATCGCTCGACTTAATCGCGAAAGGTGTAATCAAGCCGCAAGTTGAGACCGGGCTTCTGGCCGATTTTGACAAAGTTCTGGCTGATCTGCATGCGGGCAAGATCAAGAGCAGAATTGCTCTGGTACCTGAAGGTCTGTAGGGTGGATGGATGTGACAAGGAGGTGACGATCACTCTACCTCGGGAGGTTGGGCATTAGCCGGGCAAGAAGGATACTACTTGTCCAACGACTATTAAAATCAACGGAGACGAAAATCTCGTCTCGAATAGATACGGAGGACAAATAAATATGTCGATGCAGCGCTATGAGCTATGTAATAACTAAGCTTGCTAAATTCAAGACCACCACAAGAAAGGGTATAAAAATCTTCACATCATTGCTGGCAGTTTCAACCAATCTTCTTTTCAATCTTCTTAAAGAATCTGCCCATACTTTTCTCAACCTTTTCCACATTACCTGGCCTATGCTGCTGGGAGCTGGTCGACGTTCTTGATGGCTTAGAATGGTGGCGTGTTTGATGCTCATCTTCAGTCGGCCGGTAGAACTGACTGTGCACGTCATAGGGGTTTCCAGCCGTTGCTGAAGGTTGCTGCTGCTGAGCAGCCTGACCATACTGATAACTTGAGTAGCCACCCTGAGGTTGGGGTGGAGCGGCTTGACCGGAAGCCAAGTAGTCTGGGTACTGGGGGTGTACGTGCTGGAGAGGTTTGTGGGGCTGGGTAATAGTCTGATAGAATTGGGCTCCTGGACTTTGCACCGGAGGTTGCTGGCCGAAAATGTGAGCGTTGGGGTCGCCACTATTTGGTGAGTAAGTTTGCGCAGCGAGTGAAGGATGTCGACTGCCATCCGGACTGGTCGCATTTGGAGGTGGAGGTGAAAAGCCAGTGCCGATTGACGTGCGTGGTGAAGGCACTGCGTGGGGTCCAAATGACGGTTGAGATCCTGCGTTTGGCCCAAAGGAGGGAGGTGCTGGACTGGTAGTATGAGGGCCATAAGGCTGGCCTGGAGGAGATCCATAATGCCCGTATGCACCTGGCTGAGGGCCTGGAGGTACGCCATAGTGCTGCTGCGGCGGCGGCGGCGGCTGATGTGCGTACGGGTTGTCATGCATGGCCGCCGAAAGCCCTGTTCCGTCATCACCATCAACTGGTGGTGGGGTGTCCTCACGGTGTGCAATGGGCTCTGGGGCAGCAGGAGCTGCTGGATTGTAAGCTAGAGGGGTATAATTTTGATCTGGTTGTAAGCCCTTCACCGAAGGGTCCGCGTCACTAGCAGGCTGCTGGGCCTGAGGTGTAGCCTGAAGTGTCGGAGGAGGTGGTGGCGGCGGTGGTAGTTGCGCACCGTGAGGCTGCGGTACATTGACCTCCTGGTGTTTGCCCTTATGGTATGCTGGATCGGATATGGCAACATTCTCCAGGTTCTGAACGACGGGACTGACCACATCGTGGTGGCCCGAGTCTGGTTCTGGATCTATTTCGTCTAAATCCAGCTGATGGCGATCTAATAACCTCTCGAAGATGTCCAGAATCAGCTTCGCATCCTCTTGCATCCAGAAGTACAAGTCGATCGTATGTATTCTATATTTGGTGGTCCCAGCGTCTCTAGGGTCCGCACTGGCTAAGCGCCATTCGTCCGGATCTCTACCACGAGCAGAGGAGGGAGAAGAGCCAGGCTGAGAAATACCATCGACCTCCAACGTCACCTTGGTAGGGAAATGCGAGCTATTGGCGATCTTGACAGTATCGAGAAAGCCATTGAAAGCTGCCTGGTCTGGAGTACCAGGATGAAGAGCGAGCTCAATGCGGGTGGTGTTTCGTGTAGAGTTAAAGTAGATATAGAAGTAAGATGACTTGTCAAATCGATGGAGGAAGGGACGTGGACTGGGAGCGGCGAAGTAAATATGTACGTCGACGAATCTGTATATGACGAGACGTTGTCAGAACTATGAGATTCACCGAGTGTTTATGGCATACTCACACCGTTGCTAACGTCTCTTCGCCAGGGAAGGGTGGCATGCTGTCGAAGTGAGGGTCGTGGGTTGAGAGGAGAGGTCACGCATCAATGGAGTTCAGCAATAAGACTACTTCAATTTCAGCCTGCAACATGATGTCTTCAAGAGGGCATGTTGCGACCCAACACAATGGGAGGCTGCAAAGCAGAAGGGACTCGTGGTGGCACTGGTGGGCGGCTATCTGATGCGTGCGTCTGGCTTGCGTACGCCGTGGTCTGTACTCCGTACCCAGTAAGTACTACGGAATGCCCCGCCAACTTTCCAAGGTAATGGAAGGCCCAGCCTTGTTTGGGCATCTGCTGACGCCGCCTTTCCGAGGCCCACCGGTCACGTGCTATCACGTGCTTAGCCAAGACGCCAGCACGACGATAGCCACTGCTGTAGGTTATGCACAGGTCACTACATAACTGTGCCCTGCATACTCAGGTACACAATAGCAGGCAACAGGCACATGGGCAATAAGCTCAACCTGAAACGACGGGCTTCGCTCTCCTTCTGCCCATATCCAATGGTGCTTCCCGGTCATCATGCAAAGACCGGGACTTGAATTCTTCGTCTTCACCTGGAATCCCAAAAGAGAATCTTGACGACTCATCCTCGCCATCCTGCCATTCATTTTCTTTCGATGGGCCATTCCATACAGCCTCGCCGCTGTTTGCAGGGTCTCTGGAGCAAGCAGGAGTACCAAACTCAGTCACAACAGGCTCGCAGACCAATGCAGATTGGGAAAAGCTCTCCCAGCCTAACCCAGAAGATATCAAGACTTTGTATTCTCTAAATCAGGACCAAGCTCAGTTGGATGCCGCCACTCGCATGCTTGAACAGTCCAAATGGAATCTTTTCGCCGAATGGTGGAAGTTCGTCAGTGACCAGGAAACCGCACTTCTGACGTGAGGAAGAAGGCATATACCGACAGCTCGGCTCGTTTTGTGAGTGAAGTGACGATCCTGAATAATCTGGTTACCAAACTTCAGTCCCAGATTGACACGAAGAAGCAGCAAACGCCATGCAAGTTGACTCCGAGGGCGTCATTATTTCAAAGAAAGGACCCGACGTTATGCAATGCCGGTCTGGAAAGTGGATGGCCCGGTGACTATCTGTCCAAGCAGACGGTGCGGCTTGACGATAAGCTATCGAGCGATGAGCGTGTCTCGATCCTAGAAACCTCGTCTGCACCGTTCAAGGATCTGCTTGCGTCAATCAAATCGACTTCAGCTATGGACGACTATTTCATTTATTCGTGCTCAAGTCTTCAACCACATGTAGAGGTATATCCCGTGGAGGTTCCAGCGTAGTTTTGCTGTGATCTAGAGACGGGCCCTGGGAGCCTCGCGTGGCCCATAGTACATAATGTATTTGATATCCCAAGTTCGTATCTATGGATCAGATTGCTCTTTCGAGGTCCGCCAAGGGAAACACCAGGCCACGCAACTACTAACCACAGCTGTGCGTGGACGCAGCGACACAATTTTGCAAAGGACGGATTGAAACTCTGGACTAACCACGCATGGCCACCACAATCGATAGCCAACCATCTGCATAACAGGCTGATCGATATAGCTCTTCCAGATGAGCACTCATTGGAACGGGCGCTCCATGGAGAAGCGGAGTACCGAGCATTGTCGTTCTTCTGGATGGGAAAATACTAGGTAGAACTTGATGCAGTGCATTTCCCAGCGTCTGAGGCTGGCCACCGCCAGAAGGACTGCGCAACGCAGCAGGTGTAGCTTGCGTGGTCGTCGCACTGATGGACGGTGGGACGTGTGACTGAATGACCTTGATTTGAGCCTTGCTAGGATCACGATCAGGAGAAGACGGGAGGTAGACTCGCAATGGGATATTCCGGATTTGGCCTGAGACCGGCACGAGAGAATTGTGGATCTTGGAAAATGTCGGCAGATCGTTGTCTTGGGTTGATTTCCACAAAGCCTTGCTCTCCTGAGCGGACAGCGTCATGATGGGCTTGGCGGTCCCTGAGCGCAAGAAATCCGCTTCCTTGACTGAATTGATAAAGGAATCGTGAAGAACCACGGGAGTTGCATCGGGCAGGATAGGGCTGGGATTCTCTGAGGAGCCTTGGGTGAAATGCAACGTCAGCTGGAAGGGAAGAGGGGCCGCACCCGAGCTTTCGGGGCCGGCATCTTGGGTTGACAGGACGTAGACGTCGTAGAGGAGCCCCAGCGGAAGATGCCATTTGAGCGGCACGTCGTCGAAAGTGAAGTAGCCGTGATATGGGGACACTGTTTCAGGATCCGCGATCAGAACGGGCGAAAAGAACTTATGCAGCTGCGGGAGCAGAAGAGGCAAATAAGACAGACGTGGATACGCAGTCTAGGATCGCTGTATGTCAGCCTTACCTGATCCACTCGTTGATCATTAGGAACTGTGGATGGGATGCATAGCTACCCGACATCAACGATGGGAAAGGAAAGACTCACCAAATATGGGTCGGAGGTGTTGAAAGTCCGGCACTCTGATGCTGCCAGACGGATTTCTAACGGCAGTCGAGCATTCCAGACCGTCCGCTGCAAGGTTTGCAAAGCCTCGCCTTGGCCCATGATGGTCTAAGGGTGGAAACTCGGGAGGATGGAGGACTCGGATGCTCTTCCTAGTCTGTGCTGAGGGCCTGCTAAGCGGATCGATGTGTTGGCGATTCGATTGGGAACGGGAGACGCTGTCCACGCGAGAGGTGATGACTGTTTGAAGAAGTGAATATGTTGACCAGGCAGAGATGGATTGAAGTGATTGGGACAGACAGGGATGAGTTGAAACAATCCAGCCACACTGGGTTTCGGGAAGTTCAGGAAGTTCAGGAAGGCTGCAGGGAGTGTGCAGGGAGTGTGGCTAGTGAGGCCAGGAAACACCTGGTACGAGAGGTACATACTCGTACTCCGTACGCAGGCCTTCACCACGGAGATGGCCCACTCCCGGAATCGATGTTTGAGGTTCCGTCTGGAGTGACACAAGGTGCAATGGATCTTCCCCGTATCATGCACATGCATTGGATAGTTGCGGTTGATCGCGGCGCCAGCGCGATGGAGATGGACTCCGTTCTCACGACCAGGTACGAGGCACGACGACTGAGGATGGTATGGCGGACCAAGTCCTCCTGTTTTGGGTCCAGGGGCTTCGTGCGCAGCAAAGCAAAGGCAGTGCTCCGTCGAGGTGCAGGTGAATGGGTACAAAGCCTTTTCCTCCTCAGTTGTTGCCATCTCCGTCCTGGACACGAGAGGCGGATAATCTACGGGTGAAGGTGTATTCTAATTTCTATACCCACTGTACTCCGTAAGGCCGTTGAGATGGACGTCTCCCAGGGGACCTTAGCTGTCGATCATCATGGCGACTCCGTACTTTCTGCAATCTCGTCGGGCACGCGGTCGCACTCCGGAATTCATCAAGAGAAGCAATCCCGTCAAGTTGGGTAAGCTGTGCCGAGTCCAACGTACTCGTACGAGGAGTCACTAGTTAGCCGTAGAACATTCAAGGAAGAAGGTATTGCTTATTTTGGCCCATCGACTAGCCTGTGGGCCGCCTTAGGAGATGGATACTCACAAGGCGTCCAGCATCTTCGCTTGAGCTCAGAGTCCAGATAGAGGGCTTAGGCTTGAGGCTATGCAGTAATTGTGGCGGAAGACCAGGCTGCCTCTTTCGATTGTTATTAGCACCTTCAAACATGTTCTACTCCGGTACTCCGTAATATGCAGCACTGCCAAACATGACGATCTCCAGCATTGATCCCAGCACCTCGTACTCTCCTCCTGGGGCTCATTTTGGGTCCTCTTCCTCAGGCCAAGTGCCGGATGGGAGTCGCAGACATTGTCCTTACAAGGCGGGCACTATTCTCCGCCCCAGCTCGGAGGTACGGGCTTTGATAGGATGCCAAGTCAATGGCAGCTTCGCTGTACACGCGCATTCGGCGGCAAATGTGGTGGCTGCTGCACTAGAACTTGGGCTGGGACTGGGGCTACAAATTGGGAGCGGGCGGTGGTGGAGAGTACAGGATGGCGAAGCCTCTTAGGCATCAACCCTGACCTATGAGTAGTCGTAAAGGTGCGAGGGATAGTACGGAGCACCCAGGAGCCAGAGATGGATGAACAAACTTGTCAAATGGGTGTCTTCCTTTTCTCTCGATCTTCTATACTCGTACAAGGGTTGAGAGGGCTTAAGAAGAGCTTAGGCACTGATATCTAGGTATCCGTAGTCCCGACAGCCCCTGAGGGAAACCCGTGACGCGCCACATGAAAGATACTCGTACTACGAAGTCAGGCCACGCCTTGATTTCTTGTACAGTAGTACTTGAGATTTTTCCACCCTCACGAGGTGAAATTGGAACAGGTCGTGAGGAAAAGGCATTCATGTGGCAGTTGTTGTCAACACCACACGACCTGAGCTGGAAAGTGCAGGTTGAAAACATACGAGTACGTACAGCACACTTGGTACGGCCAAGCAAAGTGCCACTTGATATGTTCAGGGAGTTCTACGTTCGACATACTCGCAAGCACCGATCTTCAAGGTCACCGTTTCAACAATACGAGGTAGACGCCACCGAGGATGCTGGTTGCAGATAATTTCGAGGCGAGCGGTTAGGTTAGGAAGGCCTCCTTTCCTACCTTGCTGATACCGTAACCTCATACGAGTGCTCCGGACGGAAGCAGACACATGTCCAGGACATGTCCCATTGAAATTAAGATCCGGGATTATGGCTTGAGGCTAGCTTCAGCCAACGTCCAGCTTGATTTGGGTGTTCGCTGATGAACGACTCCAGCACAAGAGAAATTTGACATGATTCACCTTGCGGGTGTAGCATTCATGGCTACCATGGATCGGCAAGCACCGACTGCTGTCAACGGTCCGAATCGTATGAACCAGGTAGAATTCGGACATGCTGGATTGTTCTGCAGCGGACTTGGTGGAGGTGTAACCGCAAGTGGCAACCGATACACTTCAAATCGGACATGTCAGATTCCGTCAATGTGTGGCTTGCGAAGGGAAAGGCCAACATCTTGACTCTGGGCTCTATGGGGTCGGTGCCTTCGTAATCCTGCCAGTTGGCAAGTTGCAACATTTCATGGTATCAAGCTCTCGTGTGGCGTACAGCAAACGCGGGGGTTGGATTGGGTAACGATGTGATGACTGATGAGGCTGGTCTTCTGAGACCCAACAAGCGTCAGCTCTACTCGTCTTTTTGGAGGACATAGGGGATAGCCAGGTGGTGAGGGACTTGGGATTGTTTCCTCGTTGGCATGTTCCTGCTCCCGCTTCCGCAGGCGAGACTGGATTTCCATTATCAAATAAGATATGTGTACTCCGTACTCTGTAAATTGAGCAGAGGACCGAGAAACGCAGGAGACGAAGGGGGAGATCGCTAGGGCCAAGGGGGTACAGATATCCGTGGGTTCGGCGAGAAAGGGCCCTCTCTCATTCGAGGATTCGGGCACCTTCGCAGGTGGGGTGGAGACTGAGATTGTCCGTCATGCCTTGTGCAGCTGTGGTTCTCAAGCTCCGGGACGATCCCAAGAGCGACGGCCGGGGATGACAATGCTGCAGAAGGTCAGACTCGAAGACTTGGAGACGTGAAGGGATGGCCTGCGCAGCGGCAAGGACGGGTTCCCCGGACCAATAAGGGCCACAAGGCCTAGGATTTAGATTGAGCCTGGGGGGTCTCGGGGCTCCAGTTTTGGCGAGGCTCCAGGCTGTCGCACAGAATCAGTGGGGATTAGTGGGCACCGGTGGGCACTAGCGAGCCTCGTTGGGGGTGGGTGGGCCTCCCGTGTCAACTACAAGTAGCAAAGTGCTGTTAGGCTCGTGCCTCTCGCCCTCCGAGCCTAGGTAGTTGGCCCTTGCTGGAACAAGCTAAGCCCCGATCGGATGGCTCAGACATGCTGGAAGCTGTGCTCCCTGGGGCCCCTAAACAAGCTCCAGGTGGACTCCGGGCGGGTTCCAGGCCGTAGGTTGTAGGTGCAGGTGCAGGTGCAGGTATGGTGCAGGCATGGTGCAGGTCCCAGCTTCTAAGCCGGACCCCAGTGCCTAGTCCGAGGAGCTGTGTTGCAGGCACGAGAGCAGAAAGAGGAATGAAACCCTCCTTTTTTCTTTTTCTACACCCGCTGAAACGATCTTGTGGTGGTGGTGCTTTGCAGGGTTACAGGCATCGGTTAATACTGGTTGGTGTTCACCTACCAAGGCTGTCGTCAAGGCGCAGACAAATCCGGGTTGTTAACTGGTACTCGTACGAGTAGTCGGGTCCTGGACTCCTGGCCTGATTGATGCTTCTGCAGTGGGACCTCCAGAGGGAACCCTCTTCGCCGAGACACCCTAAAGCCACGGCAAGATCTAGAGTCTAAGACGCGTGCAGTTAGGTCGTCGGCTACCCGCCTAGGATGCAGTTAGTGGGCCTGGGCAGCCACGACAGGCCCTCGTCCGCTTGTGTTGCCATCTAGTGTCTAGTACGGACTACTCGCATGGAGACCTATCACCTTCACAAGGTTCTGCCCCGTGGCCTTAGGCGTGTTCAGTGGCTACGAGTGTACGGAGTCTCTGTCGATTGGAGATCGATGGTGATGATGGTGATGGTGATGGGAAGGGTGTGAATCGTGATCTCGGGTGTGGTGCTCGACTTGGGGCTGCCAGGGTCTGGCAACGATGGACTCATGGGTGGTTCAGCTCCAAAAAAGCTCATGCACGTCGCCCGTTTGGAAATACCTGTTGTCCACAGAGAAGCCATTCTACTCGGGGGCGGACTGACTTTGGTCAACGTCTTGTCAGTGCAAGCTGTCACTACCGACTACTGACTGGGAGTCACTGCTGTCCATACATTCAACTGCAGTACTCGTACTTGTAGTTAGCTGCTGCATGTCATGTCATGTCAATATTGACGTTGGGTCCCTCGTGGCCCTCCGTTTCCGCTTCCCCTGCCCCTTCACCCCTCGCCCTCCCCCTGCCCTTCCTATTCTCTTCCGCTGTCACAAAGCTGTCATTCTTCCTTAATCCCCCCCCCCCCCCCTGTCTGTCACTTTCTGCCACGCTGCCCTTCCCTGTTCACGCGCAGCTTCAACAAATCCGGCGCCAGAGCCAGAGCCAGAGCCAGAAACACTACGGCTCTATGACTCTACGAGGACGAGTACAAGCCTCTCCTCCGCAGGTCAACAATCCTGACAAGTGCAGCGCCTTCGTGCTCTTGGCATCTTCTTAGTTTCTGCCTCCGCCATGCCCTTTGCTTGCGTTTCCTTGCCCCTTCTTTCATCTGACACTAATCCTAGTTCTGCGGTCTGTCTCTCTCAAAAGCATAAGTACTCTGTCCTCGGTAAAGCATGCGTGGTGGTCAATGGTCGGTCATACGCTGCATAACGGGATCGCCACTGACATCCCAGCCTAATTGTGCCCATTCAGCCACCCTACATTCATACCATGGACGCCGTCCAGACATACGAGTACAGAGTACAATACTACAGTCTACACGTCAACGAGTCTACGGCTAGTCCTCTGCTACCACGACGCCTGCCGAGTATCTACCTACTCCTTCCTACTCCGTACCTGGTGCATTCGTAGACTCGTAGCTAGCCAGCTTACAAGGTACGGAGGACGCTTCGTCTGTTGAGTCTTGACTCTTCACACCCCTCCTCTCTCGCCTTCGTCCTCGCCTCCGTCCCTCGCCTTCGCTTCTCTAGCCGCTTCCTCTCTCCTCGTCTAATTCTTGAACAATCAGACTCTCAGCCCTCCGGGCCTCCAAAAGCATTTCCTCTTGGCGCCTTCCCATCCTCCATCCCGTCCTGTCCTTCGTTCCTGGTCCCCCTTCTGCCTCACCATTGTATTGCATTGCCTGTGCTTTGCTGTGCGTGCTGAGATCGTCTTCTTTAATTCTCCGCCCATGCCCACCTTGATTTGACCTGCTCCTCTCCATCCAACTCATCAATTCGCCCATCACCTCAAGGCTTGCTCCGCCCACGGACACTCGCCTCCATATCTCTCGGTCTCTCGGGTCATCGTCCATTTCCACAGCTGCCTCAAGTATCCGCCTCTCTACCCAGGATTTCCTATCCATCGCCATCAGCCAAATACTGACCTTGCTGCCACTTCTCACCACTCCTCTCCACAAATATATTTCTTCTTCACCTTGTGGCACGCGTCAACCAAACCTCTCTCTCGACTAGTCCACTCGTATGACGCACTGCACTGACCCCGGAAACCCGTGGCCCGGTATTCCGTCGTCTTAGTTACTGCCATGTCGTGAATCCACTGTCGATGTGTTCTTCCAACCTCTACACCTACTACGGCACTCCGACCTCTATTCGTCCTTCGTCCCTCTAGGATATACTACCCAATCACCATCACACAACCCCATTGAGCTCTCTCATGTCAGCTCATCCCGGTCCTGACCACCACCACCACTCCTCCTACCACTCTGTCTGTTCCCTGCACTAGCCAAAACGCTGGCCCCGGTTCAGTCTCGATAGGGCTGACAGGCATATTACCGTGTTTTTCAAGTTTCCCACACCCCTGCTCACCCTGACCATCGACACAATCTGCCGGTCCAGCCTACGGCCATATATATGTCCCTTGGATACTTATTTGCTGTTCAAGCCAAGCCCATCTCATTCAGAAGACCTTCTACACTCTATTCAACCTCACGATCATTCTCCTCAATCATCCAATGATCTAACTACAACACGAATCATGATACCATGGACTGCCTTTGGGACGACCGACTGTGATCCTGACTGGCGTATTGAGTTGAATGAACACAATCTTTTCCACTATGTTGAACGCGGTCCAACCCAGTTGACTCGTGGTCTGGACTCAAGCATGCTTGAGCAAGCCTCGGAACGCCAGTTTGCCATCTCTCAACTCGGCCTGGTCAGCGCCGGCTTTGAGGTCCAACATACGGAGCGCATCAAATTGACACTGCAATACCTCCACAACCACTTCACCAATCATCAACCCGAACCCTCACCGCAACGTCCAACCTCGCCATATAGGGAGTATTTGCCCGATTTCAGCTTGTCCAATTTCTCTACGCCATTGGACCCACTCCCACCATTCAACTCTGAGCCAGCAACCATCACTCACATATCACCCCCTCCAACAAGCCCAACACCCAAGATAGATACATCTTCAAGGTCGCCTTTGGCTCTTGTGAATCTGATGAATCCAGAACCTGCCAAGTCCAGGCCTGGCAAGCGCAAGTTCTCGGGCACGCACAGCCCATCTCTGATGGATCCCGACTCACCGGAAAACCTCTTCGACGATGAAAACGAGATGCTTTATTGCAGTACTTTGGATTATGTCCGAGCATCCAAGTCTCAACTTGAGCAAATGACGAGGACTCACAGAGAAGCCCGAATGAGACGACCCTCTCCGTTGAGAAAACCCTTGGTCCATCGCCGAGCAAGAAATGCGTACGAGACGGAACAAGCTGAGACCGAGGCACACCTACTCCTAAGCTTTTCACAGTATCGCGCAAGAGTTGGAAGCTGAATCTTCTCGCGACTTCAGATTGCCGTATATCAGACTCTACTGATCTCGATGGACTTGCCACAGGAGTGGGTGTGTACAGCACACTCTATCCATGCATGTGATTGGCTATTTCGGCACCTTTCTTTCGATCAAAACAACCTCATGATGGCGCCGAGACCGGTTGCTCATTTAAATGGTATCGGATTGATCTGGCCAACGTGAGGAAATGTTATAGATTGTTTCCGCAACGTCTCACATATTCTGGCGAGATGCCTGATTCGCATCTTGGGACCCACAGTACCACCAAGAAACTTTGCAATAAACTGCTTGGACTCACGGATGTGCCGGTGGTGGATGAGCCAAGAACTGGACTCGTCTGACCGTTGAGCAAACTTGATCGTTGCATTTTTGGATTAATTACATTCCCTTCACGACTTTACAAGCGATGGCGCTGGCCGGTGTACTTGTCTACTTCTGTTTTGTGACTTGGTTCATACGCAATTGATTGCTAAGGGTATGAAGATTTGCTTTCAACTGTTTATATTTCAGGGTGCGACTGGGCTTACCGCATTTGTTGGCCTTGGTCTAGAAGCGAATTGATCGCAATGAGTTGTGAGATACATCTCAATGGAGACGAGTGGGCAAGGCCAGCCATTTGGATTTCACCATGGTGGATTTTGCCTTGATAGCATTCCGACTCGATGGCTTGATCGGAGAACGTACAAATTACTTCCTTATCTCCTTACCTCTGGGGGACGGAACGACAGCTCGTACATTGCCAGTCATCTTGTAATTTCCCCCCACTTAGAGTTGAGTTCGCAATATCCATGCCTGCGTACCGGGGTCATCCTCTCCAAAAGCCATTTGCTTCCTTTCCCCGTTTGGATGTGATAGGGTCAAAATGATGAGCACCACTACGGAGTATGCCGGTTGAACTGGCCCGACTCTCGCGTCGCTGTGTCCAAAACTGGTTCGCTCAGCCTTCTTCGTCCGTCGGGAAAGGCGACGCGGTAGGCTTACGCATCATAAGGCGCAACAGTACGGAGTGCATATGTGCTCGGTCCATTTTGCAAAATGCTGGCGTGGGACCACCAAGGACTGGAATGAACTGTCCGTTAATTTGGACAATTATGATCATCAAAGAAAGGCCAAATCTACAATTTTCAATGTCCGTGGCTCCGTGCCGCTCTGGGATCACAATGTTGAGAAAGTGCGAGCAGCTTCAGGCATCAGGAGTGCGGAGTGCGTGGACTCGATTACACCCGCACTCAGACGATGTGGGCGGAGGCGTATTATGCACGGCGTACCTGTACATTATTCGCATGAGGCCACAAGGCTCCGGCCTGGCTTCTCGTCGATTACTATCAAACAGACCATGGTCTTGATCGGCGCCACTTCCCATCCGTTCCGATCGCGTACACATCCAAAGCCGGTTTCAGAATTTGAGGGCCCCTTGAGGGTTCTCATCTCACCTCCATAGCCTTGTTCACTATCAAATCCGGTGCATTCTGTATCCGTACACAGTCTCCGTGTAGGGAATGGTGAGATCATCTCACACTCAAAAATCCTCGTTCCGTCCGACTTCTCTAAGTAGCCTCGGAAACCTTGGCCCTGCAAATTTCTCTTCAGGCCCGGAGAATGTTCGAGGTGCGTGAGCTGGCAGCGAGGCGTCAGAGGATCAGCAAGAAGATCCGTCCCCCTGTGCAAGACAGCACTCTACGGCTTACAAGCAATGCTAAGGTCTTTGTTAAGGTCTTACCTAGAACGAACAGGTTTGATGTCGTTCTCGCTAAGACTCAGGCGAGAGGCCGAGGCAATTCTTCGCAGAACCTTGCGCAACATTGATTAGAATACCACAAGTCCACCTTGCTTTCATCAGTAGTCCGTGGTCCGTGCTGCGTACGGAGCACTCGGAAGTAGAGTAGAGTAGCAGTCCTCCAGAGTGAGACAACAGGCGGCGACTGTCCCGGAAAAAAAAAGGAGGGGCCCTGGAACAACTGATAATCCGACGCTCCTTCCCGTCATGGACGCTTGCCCGTCCCCTGCCCTGCCCAGTGTGGGCGCCAGTGCGACACGCTCCTGCTCCTGCATCTCTAAGGTAGATTCTGTGTGTGCATTCCTTCCTTAAGTGGGAGAAATGGGATGAAACATTATGCTGATCAATGCTTTCAACGAAACCCAAATATCCATCGTGGAACTGCGTGTCGACGCGACAAGGTGTCTTTGTGTCTTCCTCGGACTGAGCAAGGGGCGTTGCGGGGAGGCCCCTCCGGGATTTTCATTCGATGGACGTGCTAAACACTTACTACGAGTAACTACCGAAGCCTTGACTTCATGTAATGGCACCGTCTTCATGGCCTGCACAAGAACGTTACACACTCCGTATTTCAGAGCGAGAGCTCACGATCGCGTGAAAATCTACTTGGCAGTCCTGCAGCAGACGGTTGAACTAGTCCCGACTCTCCGTCAGCCGCATTGTAAGCGAAGCGAGCCTGACGCGGCCTGAATGGCGATCACGACCAATTTGGGTCGTGCTCCTAAGACCAATCCTCAAAACAGCCTGCAGGAAGTCAATGACAGCCTCACCGCTTACCAGTCTCCGTGCCACAATCCGTACGGAGCACCCAGTACAAAGACTGCGTTCCGAATTGTTCAAGCTCAGAGAGTTTGCATGGTACTGGACCCTGGCCTTGCCTACCCACTTCTTGCATTACCATCCAAAAATGTCCCGTAGGGTGAAGCTGATCAAGCGATATCATTGAGACTCTATGGCCAGGCCATCGACTCAGCGCTGCCCTACTTTTCTTATTGACAAGATGCAGTGCACTGTACTATACCTTTTAGAACTTCGCTAACCCTTAGTTGACATCAATCACGCGACAATGTCTATCACGGCGCGCTGAGTAGGTGCCATTTGGACATGGCTGAGCCTCACCGCTGCCATGCCCATGAAAGGTTGCCTGCTGTCGGTAATGGCCACCTTGAACTTCGATTCATCAATCGTCTCCCCTAATCTTGAACGCTTGGTAGTCCCAGCCGCAACGGTGACATCCTAAGAAAGGGGTAGGCAGGGACAAAAGCAAAGCGCGGTGATCCCCATTCCGTACTACATGCTCGTGCTCAACGTTCTCCAGGAATAGCCGCTCTCGATCCGAAAACAAATAGGAGACTCAGTTAAGTCCCATGATTTATCATGATAAGAAGTACAAATTTTACCTTCCCACTGAATTGACAGTAGTGGACTTCGAGATGAACTATCGAAGATCGGACGCCCTGCTTAGCCCCAAGAAGAAAAGCAATATCAGTCCTTGAGAAGGCGTTTCTTTTTACTGTGAACGAACGGGACTGGCCCACCTGGGATCGTAGCCGCTATGCACCCTATGCCAATCTTGATCGTCTCTAAACGTGGTGTGTTCGGTGCATCCTTCGATCAGCATTCCATGCAGAAGTAGGAGCGGTGTCCTTCCAACCCGCTTTCACTTGGCCATGGTGATTTTTCAATGTGGTATGAGATTGGATGGTTAAAGAGCCACTCCCCGCAAACGAAAGGGGCCTTAGGGGTCACGGACTCACGGGTCCTGACCCGCGAGGCCCCCCCGCCCTAACGAACCGTCGATCGCCAGTCCTCACGGGGTACCTTACCCAGGCTGACTAACCAAAGGAGAATCTGGTTAATCTCCCAAAAGTTCAGACGGTCGATAGCTCCTTGCACACTTCGAGGCTTAGCCGAGCACTGAGGTTCTTTGATCAGCTTACGAGTACTCCGTACTCCGTACTCAATGCTCATAGACTTCAATGGCTCCCGCTTCCATCTTAGCTCGCTCGAGCTCCCAAGCATTCCAATGGCACACCAGGTCTAATCAATTACATGAACAGGATCTCATGCTATCCTCCTTTCTGACCGGTACAGGTGTTGACCGTCTTTACCCTTGGCGAATATGTCCAAAGGGAGCAGGAAGGCAGCCTCAAGTCGCACTAGCTTCAGCTTGTCATGACCATCTCGGGCATGAAAAGGTGAATCGCGCACGACCTGCTCTAGCCTGGCAAGCCAGCTTCAGCTACAGGAGACAGAGTACAGAAAGAGGAGTCCATTTGAATTGTTAACTCGTACATAGCTACCCTAGAATTTCGATATCACACAGTCAAGATTACGGTCGTCACAAACATTCCAGGAATGCGAGCCCGTCTCCAAAATAGGCCAGATCTTCGACCGACTACTGCAGCCAGAGTCCTCAACAAAATGGTCCAATTTTGAAAGAATTACTGACTTATGTACGCCCTGTACGCCCTGTACGCGAAAGAGCGCTGGCATGTCTGTGACGCCACCAGCCAGCCATGGATGAAACAGCCCCTAGGTCAGGCGGCTCTCAAGGATAGCTGAAGCCCAAGCGATCTGCATTGACGAAGTCGCTTAAATGCAGGTGATCATCTATCAAGCAACTTCGCGAAGATGAAGACGAATGTCGTGGACTAGTAATATGGAAGTACGGAGTACTGATGATGCCTCGCCACGATATCGTCGTACTCCCGAGGATTTGCCGCCATCTTCAAAGAGCACTTTTGTAGTTTGAAAAACTAAGTCGCTGTTAGGTCGAGTCTTTGGGCGAGATGAGTCAAACAAGAATGAGCATCTGGTACTCCTGACCACCGACTCCCACAGTACTACAGCTGAGCAACGACATCATAGGCACATATCCAGGGTTCTAGGCCTGACTAACACCACTCTTGCAACAATAAACGGCCCCTAATCAAAGTCATACAACATCTAGCAAGGGGAAAGGTTCTGGTTGTTCGTTTTATCTGGTAGGTGCAAAACTCGTCGCATAGTCGGTCGTGCGACTGCATGAAGAAAGATAGGTCGGGCACTAACTATGTAGTCGCGCGAGACACACACACACACACACACACACACACACCCACACCAAACTCGGTGCAACTAAGCAAGGCTGCACTACACACCTACCATGTTCCAACCGAGGGTACCGCGGACCAAGTAATCAACGAATCACCGCTACCTTTTCCCATGCATTCTCTGCTTTCCCTCGCTACGCCACGCCGCTTCAGGCATTTGTAACTGGCACTGCCCTTCTTACTCTGCATGGTTGAGTATCGGACCGCTTTGCGAGATCTGGTCATCTCACTGAGCCACTCACTCCTGCAAAGCAAGGTCGCCCATCCCATCATCTTCTTGGCGAGGTTTACCAGACTGCCTGCCTGCTCGCGTGCCTGATTTCCTTCTCACTACTCGGTGCTAGGTACATGGCTGAGGCGGCTTGAGAACTCCAGGCAGCCGCGTGATGTCATCGCCCCAATACGTTGGGGGACTTTGCCAAACGGGATAGAAACGATCTGACACGGCGGATTCCGCCAACGTTATGGAATTGCTAAAGCTGGGGCTGGTGGAGTCGGGCTCGTTCATGCCCCAGCGGCGACTCGGAAAGTGCAGCCAGCTCACACGAGTCCGGGTGATTGATTAATTCAACAACTCACAACGTTCAACTTTGTGTGGACGGGAAAGTAGTCAACTTTTTGTTTGTTGAGGCTTGACGCGGCTGATTAGCCCTGCTCCTGTTCCTGCCTGTTTCTCATTGAGACAGTAAGTATACCGCGTTTAGCCCGAGATAAATACGGGCTCTGAAGGCCAAAAGGGCTCTGGAAAGGGTGGTCCATTTCGCCATCACTTTGGTGTTGGCGGCGCAGATGAGCGTGCTGTTGCTCCAGTCTGCTCACAAATAGCATACAGCCTGCTCATCTGGAACCACCATTCCCTCAAATCAGGAAAATGCAATGGAAACCCGTGATGCAGCGGTAGCCTCCTCAAGGACCACCATGTCCGGGAGATTTTCAACGAGTCCTTCACGGGAGAGCGTTGCACCAGCACCGGGGGAGGGGGGACCGCGAGAATAGCGAGATATCGGCGCCCGCGTCGGTGGGCGAGGGATTCTTCTGGTGGCGCGGCAGCGCTTGGACGACAATGAGGGCGAGGATCGAGTGTCGACTCGGTTGATACTGTGTGCTGGTGCTGTGTCTGCATCGACATCGCAGCGGTCTGTGCCGATAGAGAGAGAAAGGGCGCCATACGGACATTGGTGAGTGCGAGTTCTAGGCCCATTCGTCTCCAGCGAGCACACTCTGACTGACAGGTTGGCCTTTTCTTGGAGGCAGGGACGCAACTGTGCACAAGCTTGCAGCGGCGACAGGAGTCTGGCCCTCCAGTTCTGCGACTGTGTCGAGAAGAGGAAGCTTTGCTGACTCAATGCGGGATCCCTTGATGGGCCACAGGGAGTAGTAGTTCGTCGTGAAGTATATCCCGTATTGCATAGGGTAAAACTGGCGCTTGGACGAGCTAGCTATTTATTTAGCATCGGTGGCCCGTAGGTGGCCTGGACGCAGGGATGCGATGATAGTTTTGGGTTTGAAGGCCCTGTTTATTTTTCCTTGTCCTGGGGATTGTTAGTAGGTGATACTGTATATTTTGGATATATAAAATCGAGTGGGCTAAGAGAGGAGGGAGAAATTGAGCTTACTGGCCTGAGGATTTAGAGGAACATGCTGAACGCATGATTAAAGGATTTTCCAATGGTGTCCACAGCACCAAATCAACTGTTCATGCTTGCGAAAGTACCGTGAGCACGAGAGTAGTGGATAGATGGCCGCATAACCTTGACAAGATCCAAATGCTTAGATCTCCCCACTCTGACATCAACCACCATTGCCATTGCGCTCCAACGACTCAAGCTTTCGCGTCGAAGGAACACCTCCGTTCGTGGCCTGGACATTCGAAGGAAGAGTCTCCCAATGCTCCATGCGCGCGATTTCCAGGTCAATGTCGAGATCACGAGGTTCGGTCTTGGCGACGCTTCTCTTCCTCTGCGGTTGTGAGGTGCGCGTCACATCGGTATTGATCTTGGTCAAGTCCACGAAATCCGAAATATCGTTCTCATCCTGATCCTGGGCAGTGTTTTTGCCGCTATGAGGATGGTGTGAGGCGCTATCTAATTTCTCTGAGTCTGAGAAGGCGGTTGAGGCACGACCGCGGTTGTTCTGCGGCCGGCCGACGAACTGGACCAATTTGCCGAGGATGGCGAATTCGAGCTTGAGCTTGATCGAGTAGAAGACGGGTTTGGTGGTTGTTTCCAGGATGTACAGTGACGCGCATTCCAGGCCCAATAATGCCAGATCCATGATGATGATGAGGATGTTAATGGCCATCAGTTGGAACATAAGTCGTTTGGTGTTCGCTTGGACCGAGGTTCGAAGGATCCGGATTGTCTCAAGGATGTAAATGGAGGAGAGAATAACTTCCTGGATGAAGAACCCGCTCATTTGGATTTTCTCCATGACATTGTATCCGCGGACGAAGACTTCCGTGCTGGTGTCGCTATTTGAGCCACAAGTGAGCACCGTGGTGGGGATGTGTAATAGTATAGCGTTGACGATGATCATCCATTTCGTGTAGAGGAGAATCTTGTCACCTGTTTCTCCCGTCACAATGAGATGGAGACGAGACCATAGTACGATCGCTTGTCCGGTTACCATGGGATACCATCCGATTGACAATAAGAAGATGGAAAGCCATTTAGCACCGCCCTGGAGAATAGAAAAGTATTTAAAGATAAATCCCAGTGAGTAGGGGATTATCCCTAGACTGGAGATCACTAGACTCCAAAAGTAAAGTCCTCTGAACCTGTTGAAGGTGCCGAAAATGAGGACGAGGAGTTCGACCACGTTGTACATAGAAAGGCCGAGAAAGAAGGCAATAATGACTTTAAGCGTGAGGCTATCGCCCTCATAGCCTCCTGTGATCCCAAGGCCTGCTGATTCTGGCGAGCTTGAGGATGAGGTCGAATTTGACGACATTATTGGCCGAGCTCAGACCCGAGGGAAAAGCTTTGACATATCCCAAGGGTTTGCATGAAACGCTGTCTATGCTATGATCAACGCGAGGTAATGCTGACAACCACATCTGATACGGACAGTCTCAAGCCAAAAGCCAGAGTGCTGGGAAAAGAACAGGTCATATGAAAACGAAATATTCCTCCACCCCGAACAAGAGAGACAAAAAAATGGAACAACCAGAATTAACCCTCTTCTTGCATCTTGCGTTGAAGCTTGCTGATCCTTGTGCTGCCCCGCAAGCTCGAGTCTTGGTAGCATTGATGTAATGGGTTGACTTGATGATTTTCAAGCGGGATACCCATTATGGTAAGACTATGGAGAACAGACCGCAAAGTAGGAATGGTAGGCGAATGCCTACGTCATCTTGGCCACTCTTGGACGCTTCAGCCGTGTGGAGGTTGAAATTAAGGGCTGAACTGCTCGCAGAATAGTGACCCATTTTGAGTGAGATTTTGTCAGCCTTGGATTGAAATATGCATCAGTACGAGGCACTTAGAAGTGGAATACAGGAGTCTGCAGTACTCCGTACTCCTAGTTAGCTTTTCGTCGTTGAGGCGAGGTTGCGACTTTCCTCACCGATTGTAACACGTGACATGGCTTCTCACGTGATACGACTTGGCTTCGCTTCCACTCGAGTCATCTTCATCCCTTTGCCGATCACGGCCATATAATCAACTTGGCCAACTTTGTCGCTCGTAATAATGAGAGTGCAATTAATAACCCACAACCATCATCTGACATCATGAATAAGGGTAACTTCAACATCTGATGGTAGAATCCTAAGATGATATACTGCTATGCCTTCAAATTTCCCAGCCCATCTGCTTTACAGACACCAGTAGCGTCTACGGAGAGGGAAGCAGCTCTGATGCAATCTGCTATCCCCCGACCCGTTTAACGTGTACCTCCAGACCATTCTGCACAACGAAAAATGTTGTGTGCGATTTTAATGGCTTTCCAGGCTCAACCAGCTCAAAGTCGAAGTTCATGATGAGCTGCGGCAAAATCTTGCTCATTTCAAATTGGGCAAGGTTTCGACCAATGCAGAGATGGCCACCTCCACCGAACTGTACGAGAGTCATCACCTTCGTTCTCGCGGATCTATCGCATCACATACCTGATACATGTGCATCTTCATCTCCTTGGTGTCACTTTTAAGCCAGCGTTCTGGCCGGAATTGGTCTGGAAATTCTCCGAATAAGGCTTCGTCGCGATGTACCACCCACGCATTTACCCCAGCCACCAGTCCGCCTGGATATCGCTTTCCATCAATGGTGGCCCCAGCTGGTGGGATGTATCGGGGAATACTTAGCCCGACAGCCGGTTTCATGCGCATTGTTTCCATCAGACATGCCTGGAAGTATGACAGGTCTTGAGCTTCTTGCCAGCCCACCCCCGGGGAGAGATCAGCCCCTCTGATCTCCTCTTTCAACCGTGAATATACGTCTGAGTTTGATAATACAAAATGGCAGAAAGATTGCATTGTGGACGCGGTCGAGTCTGCCCCTGCACCACTGCTGCATCGTTAATGGAACGTCCAAGATGTGGCCAGCAAACAACCTACATTGCTCCATGCGAGACAGCAAAGATGTCCATCTCTGAAAACTTGGTTGGGTTCTTGTACCGCCCTGCGATTAATTGCCCTAAAAGATCCTTTCTGTCAGGCTCAAGGAAAAATTCTCCGGATTGCTTCCTTTTCTGCAACTCATTCATTGCCATCTCCGTGACCTTGGGCAGTCCGAATGATGTTAGAAAGAACTGCACCAAAGGGTTGTTTAGCAAGATGTGGCGCAGCTCTGGCACTTGACCAATAATACCATTGTACCATTGCAAGGTGTCGATGAATTTTATCGTCCCCCCTACATCTGTCTCCTGCTCCAAAAAGCCATACCGCTGTGAAAAGGCGAATTCCCCAACGACCTCCCAACAATCAGCATTGAACCATCATCCAGGAGTATCGAGCGTAACTCACATCAAATGCGAAAAAGTGCAGCAAATCTCCAAGGTTGCAGACTCCAGTACCGTCGGCATACTGACCAAGTTTTCGAACCATTTCCTTCTGCACATCTTCGATCCATGGGCTCATCTTCTGCACGCTAGCGAGGCTATAAGGAACCACCGCAACACGCTTCATTGCTGCATGTTTCCATTCCCTGGTTTCTGTGAAGATGTCCGGGGCATGTTTTGGAGGGAAGACGTTGTAAAATTCAGTTTTTCTGAATCCATTTCCCGGAGCCAAAATATCCCGAGCTGCAGTGGGTGATGCAAATGAGAGCTCATTAGGTCCTACACGAACAATAGGTCCTGACGAAAGAAACGTCTATCAGCCAACCGAGCTTGGATAGAGAGACAAATTGAGTTGATCCGGCAGAATAGGCGAGCTTACCATATTTACGATGCAGTTGGATGAAATCCTGCTGAGCCTGGCCTTTGGCCACGACCCATGCTTTCCACAGTCTCGTGACGGAAGCCAGAAAGGGGCCTGGATATGATGAAAGAGGAGAGAAATAGCGCCTGTTAACCAATCGGGTGAGCAAGAACACCAGCGCACTCAAGAAAATGTGTTGTTGGAACAAGGTCCATATACTGAATGGAACAGCAAGGACCATTCGCGGGTCAGCAATTCTTTGATACGGCCAGCTGTGCTAGACAATTAATTGCAACTAGCTCAGAGATTGCTACAATCTGTCGAAATCTTTACAGCACCAATGGCTCAGATTTATCTCCCTTTTGTTGCGGATGACGGTCTTCAAAAGAACACCGTCCTTCATTCATAGCCAGATCGTTCCTGACAGCGACAACCTAGCCTCCGTGTTTCAAGTCTGTCCAAAGTCTGTTTCTGCGGGGCTCAGCCTTGATGCGACTTGGCATGAAAAGACCCTTTGGGGGGTTTTCATAAAGGAAAACGTGCAAGCTGACTCCCAACCGAGAGGGCATAGAACTTGGCTCCTGGTCAGGTGATATGCGAATGTCAGATCAAGGCCGGCACCTTAACGGCTAACTGTGGAACAGATATGATTTGAGGTGCTAGGATCATCACCCTCTTCTTCAAAGGCAATCATTTTCTAATATTATCTACGATCCGCCATGATGACTTTGGATTGGGTTTCCACTAGGAGGCCACAATCGGCCATCCTGAAAGTAAAATTTATATACTACCTGGGTCACCAGGAATACAGCCTGAGTGCTTAACTCCTCCTGTTGGGTCTTTTGTACGCTCAGGACGTTGCTGCTTTCTCTGAACATCTGCATGTCACTCAAGCATCAAGTCATATACCCGGTTCAGTCATTCCACGAAATTATCGGCTTGATGACCTGTAAAAGTCTCGTTAGAGCCAAACCTTCTCAATGCGAAGATACTACTTACGGTCCCGGATTTCAGATCTTCAATTGCTTTATCAAGCGAATCTGCAGGATAAACCTTGGCAATACGGTCGACCGGAAACTTTCCTGCCCGATATAGCTGAACCAGTTCAGGAAGCAACTAAAAAGGTTAGTCTGAGCTATGAGAGGTTACGGAGCCCCGATTGAATGCGACAAAGTACACACCTTCCCTGGATCTGAATATCCTTCGATTACGCCGATAATCCGCTTACAACTTAGGAGCAAGTCCAAAGCGTCTACTTCAATCTTGCTCCCAGGACGTGGAACTCCTACAAGCGCCAGTGTACCTTCGTGTGCTAGTATTCCAATGGATGATCCGAGCAGGTTCGTGTTTCCAGTCGTGTCTAGGACGAAATCGACCCCTTCTGGGAATGTCTCCCGGAGTTTCCCTGTGAAGTCGGGAAACTGTTTCGTGTTGACTGTTTGTGTGGCACCGACGGAGCGAGCCAGCTCCAGCTTAGCATCGAAAACATCTACTGCAATGATCTCAGCTGCACCAGCGGCCTTGGCTGCCATGACCGCGGCCATTCCAACCGCACCCGCACCTAGGACTGCGATTTTCGAGCTGCGATTGGGTTTCAATGCGTTGAGAACAGTGCCTGCACCGGTGAGATAGCCGCATCCCAGAGGGGCCAGATATTGCATCTCGTCGAGTGTCAGGTCGCACTTAGTGACGGACTGCTCAGCAACGATTGTCATCTTACTAAACGAGGATTGACCAAAAAACTGGCCATGCACTGGTTTCCCGTCAGGTAACGAAAACGGTGGTTTGGCAGTTGCATCCCGGCGCGACCGCACAAAGTTGAGCTCGGTCATTTGTGGACATGCACCGCAACGTCCAGCACGACATGCTTCACATTTTTGACAGGTACGGAAGCTCAGCATGACTGCATCACCCGGTTTCAAGGATGCAGCATCCACACCGGATCCGACCTGTCGAACAATACCTGCTCCTTCGTGCCCTAGCACAGCGGGGTAACTTCCAACAGGCATACCTCCATGCTGAACAACAATGTCCTATCAGAAGATCCAAATGTCAGACTATGCTGTGTGGAAAATGATTCAATGTTATTTGACCGACCGTATGACATATTCCAGTGTACTTTATCTCTACAAGAACCTCGTCGGCATGCAGTTCATCTAGTACTATGTCCTGCAACTTGAACGGGGCGCCTAACTCATCCACCACGAAAGCCTTTGTTGAGATATTCTCGAATCCTCCCATGCTGTATGTTGTTCTCGACGCTTTCGAACAATCATAGAAACCTCACGAGGGCAATACTGTTTACATTGGGACATCTTAAGTATTTGCAGAGGTATATATAAACCCAAAGTCCACTTTTCGGAGCAGGCACAATGGGCTGGGGGAAGCACGTACCGTACCATTTGCGGAGGGGCGGGGAGAGAAGCCGCGTTTGCTCCACCTATTGTATTGCCTCGAATTTCGGTAACGATTGGCAAAAGAGGTTTCGGCACTCCTATTCGGTTATCTTCAGACCATCGCTAAATTCTCCGGGAAATGTGATCCCTCAAATGTTTGCGGGGGTTCATCGAGCCAACTGGCTGGGACGGTCCCGGGCCGAAAGTGCCCGCTAAACTGCGACACGTGCTCACCCAGCGCTTACCTCCTTCATTGTTGGGCGTAAGGTATCTTTGTGTATATGATCCCTGAAAAGAAAGAGTGATGGATTCTTCGTGCCCTCCGAAACATGATTCAGGCATGTGCTTGAATGAGTGACAGTCGACCTGCATAGGTGTGTGGGAGCGCAGAATACGTGGGAGCCGTTAAGTATCATCATCGCCATTGTCCAGTGGGAGCTGCACCGGATACTGCACTGCGAACTTGGCTGAAGTAAAAGTATCGAACGCGCCGCCTTGGAAAGAGTGCGCCAACTATTCCAGTGTCTGAGAGAGTAGAAACCACGGTCGAGTTAACTTTGCAGGCCTGTGCGAGCCAGAGCTCGAACAATAGTATTTTGTACTGACTTGTTCACTCAACAGAAGTCCAGTAGATAATTAAGTTATTACTTATCCATGGGCGAATCCAATTTTTCGCAAGACTATCATAAGATCACTTTTGATACAAAGAAGGATGGATAATAGCTGATTTTGTATTTTAGCGAAAACATCGGGTATCATTCGCGCTCTGAGGAGGCCATAAGCGAACATCGGTAATGTATTCGCATCCCCAATGCTCGTGCCTCGACCGCAACAGGCCTGCTGCAAACAGTGGCCTAGTAATCAACAAGCCTGATCGGGAGTAGTTCAACTGGCCACGACGCTTTTCTAGTTACCTAACTCAACCGCTAAACCAAGTGGCTCGATCGAACGTTCAAGGCCAATCTACAACCTGAACGCTGCAACGATTGGTAATGAGAAGTCAATTTGAAACCAAGAACCACAGTCGCGACGCCTTGTGACTATGGTTGAGTCTAAGCTCGTTTGTGTCGTCTCCCCATACGAGACTCAGTAACTACTAGCAGTAGCAGGATGGAGCCGAGGAGGTTTTCCAAGCAGATAAATCATTTGCCTTGAGAGCTGGCATGAGCTTGGACATCTTCTGTGTTTGGACGGGTTATCCGAGGTTATCAACACCTCAAAATGGATCCCACCGGACAGGGACGGGTTGTGCAATTCGCTCGGTCATTGGCTCCTCCGCACGACGATTGACCCTGGAAATGGTTATCCTGAATACTTAACCTGGAGTACAAAGAGGGCCACTCCTACCTTCCAATCATACACATCAGAAGGCTTCAGCTCGCGCATCAGGAGAAGAGTATCAGAATGCCACTTCCATATCTTCTTCACGTGAATTCACGCCCACAGCCAGACTCTGGAGTGGACAACAAACTATGGGAGAAATGGTACATCACAGAACATGTAAGTTTTTTGCAGTGCCACTTCCCTCCTACTCGTTCTCCAGTTACTCGGGCGGATCCTGTACAGTAACTTACATCGATCCAGCTGCCAGACCTGGTCAACAGTGGGACTACGAAGCGTGCAGCGTTCTATCGAGAAACATTTGATTTTTCACTGGCATCCAAGGACAGGGCCGTGCGGAGCTATCTCGCGATTTACCAGACAGAGTTCGAAGAGCCGCTTGCTCGTGACGAATATACCAAAGGAGTCCGTCATTCAAGCGACCTGTTCCCGAAGGACAAGGAGACACTCGCCAACGGCGACTTTGATGCGAGGAACTATAAGCTGATTGTGGACTATGACCCAAAGAGCACGGGAGAGAGTGAGTACTATTATTTATATGGAGTGCAGGGCGCGCGTTTGGCTAGAACTGAGCGACTAACGAATTTATCTAGGTGCGCCGCCATTTCTTCTGACCGTCGAGATGGAGCCGGTGGACGAAGCAGATTTTGAGAAATGGTATAGCGAGGAACACCTCGAGATGCTGAGCAAGCTTCCTGGCTACCGCCGATCGTCGCGGTATACTCTTGGGCCGAAGACACCAGCTACTTTGGGAGAGCCGGGGAGGTTCTTGGCCATACACGAGGTTGACGACGTTAAGGCCGCCTTCGATAGCAAGGAGGCTGAGGCGGCGAATACCACGCCGTGGACGGTGAAGCACATCAACGATGCTAAGATCTTCATTCCGAGAGCTTGGGAATTGCTCCACACGGAGGGGTTTTAAAAGGCCCGAGGTTGTGAGAACCATGATATTACTTTTTGGGGTCACTATTGATGTGGTTATCTCCTGAGAATGTCTGTGCCAGGTTCCCACTGTCCATGAGCTTTTCATTTCATGAAGCTGTGCCCATGACCGATTCCATCCAGGGATATATACTCTCATTCGCTGGGGGGTAGCCCATATGAAGCATCTTGTCGTAGAAACGAGCCTCTTTGGGTCGGCCGTGGCTGAACAAAAGAACGCTGTCCTCGATCGGCATCAAGCCATCCCACGTACCGTTCACCAGAAGCAGTCGGCAGGAAGGCCCGTCGACAATGCCGCTCTCCACGAGGCTGAAATCCTTCTGCGCCTTTTCTTTGAGCTCTTCCCAGTCCTTGTAGCCGTATTTGAGGACGTAGGCGTGGCTTAATATGAATGGGTATTCGTGGTCGTCAACGTGGTCAAGCCACTCCCGGGACAGGAACAGATGGGTTCCAGCTCCTTGCCCAATGCTGCCTATCAGTCTCGTGTGGTGAGTATGCGCGACCCTGATAGCATAATAGCCGCCGGCCGACAAGCCCCAGGCTAGGACTTTCTGGGAGTCTAGGTACGGTTGCTGCGCGATCCAGTCTAGGATGGCAGTGAACAGCCGATCGGAAGACTTGGGATCTCTTCTTGCCGCGGGGCAGTCTGCAGTTCCAGGTATCTCCGTGATCACGGTTGCCCAGCCACGAGAAGTGAACTCGTCAGTCCGCTGTTTTGAAAGATTAGCAAACGATGGGTGGTGCGAAGGAAAGTGAATTGCTTACAGCAGAGTTGTCTGGGCGGTGGCCGTCAAGACCTGTAATGAGCAATACAACAGGCGCCTTCTTATCTTTACTGGTTCCGGAGGGGAGCCTGAGGTACAAGGGGATCTCCTTCCCGTCTTCGCCCTCCGCGGCCGTGTGAGGAATAATGACCTCTTTCAAGGGAGCATCCCACAGACTTGCACCTCGCAGATAGACCTGTTTCTGAGTCTCGTAGATCTTCCGTTTGAGACCAGAACCCGCATCCACCGACGGGAATCGAGAAATACGATAAACGGCGGCTGCCCGTTTGAAGAGATCAACTGCCTTCGCGCGGTCGGACCCTTGCGCAGAAAGAGCGTCGTCGGTGAGTCTCTCGGCCGTCGGGAGGAAGTACTCCGTGTACGCATCCGAATAGCCATCGTTGACGTTGTCGGCGATCAGCTTTTCGAATATTGGCGCAAAGTCTTCGTATTTGCCGTCGTGGAATGGGTAGACGGCCTTGGTGGCGGGGAATTTCCATTTCGTCTCCCAGAGCGCCTTGACGCCGCTCAGATGCGGGTATTTCTCTGTGAATTTGTCTCCCAAGGTCCAGTTCGTCATTTTGGTTGTATTGGTAGAAGGTGAGCAAAAGTGAAGGAGAATTTATGTAGAATGGAATAAAGGTGCGGTGAGTTCGAAATGGGATGGACGGCGATGTGGTGTTGAGAGTCCTGTTCTACCACGCGGTCAACTGGACAATGGAGATCCACGAAAACAAGAGCTCTTCGAGGTGGTTATAAGACTTCGACAATGAGTGCAGTAAGTATCATAATGATACTATTTGATCTTATGTTTGATTGTCGTTGTCAGCCTCACTCGGCCCCCTGATGCCCCACGGGAATCGGCCAATTTGAGTGCCGAATTATAGATCGGACTCGGGATGCAAAGCTTATTGGACTCGGCTGATGTTCACGAAGGTCCCTGTCCGACTTTCGACTACTGGCCATATGATGCTATTGATAGATCACAATCAAAGATGAGGCTTCTTTTATCCAGCAAATTAAATCTGGCTTCAGGGGCCGCACTATGATTCTTGATATTGTATTGCGACCCAAGTCTAGACGCACACGAAATTACCAAATTCATATCGGAAGAAACTCTGCCATGAACCGATCGACATCCTATGATAGCGACACGTTTCATTTTTGCTTCTGAGCCTCCTTCGCAAACATCCTTTTCTTGTCAAGCATTTTATCAGCCAATAAGCTGCATAAAATGGGTTCAGGGATCCATTCCATGATAGCGATCTGAATTGCATGCAACCAATATGGACTCATCCATAACCGACGTCGACCCACAGCACCAGCGACTCGATTTAGAAGCATTTCTCCAAATTGATTGGCGTTGGGACTCCAGGCTCCAAGTCCTGTATAGTTCGAGTCGGTAAGCACATCACCGGGAACCACGGCAATGCAGTCAATTGGTACGCCGGTGGCTTTGAACTCGCGTGCAATGCTCATGCTAAAGGCAGCGTTGAATGCTTTTGTTGCACTGTATATGCTTTGCCAAGGTATGCCGGATCGTGCGCCGGAGCTCATGTTCAATATAAGTGATCGATTCGATCTTGGTGAAGTCGAAAGAGCTGATGATGCGGATAGTGTAGGCACCATGACGCGTGTTACTTGGGCCATAAATCGAGCATTCAGACTGATATTGTCGTCAATGCCTTTTGACTCATACTCAGTGAAAATCCTGAATAGAGGCAATGGCATTGGCACACCGCCAACATTGTTGATCAAGATCGTGACGGCCAGATTCTTAGGCTTGATGCAATTGTTGATTATTCGGCTTTGGATGTCTTCCACTGAGGCCCTGACGGCATCGAGATATACAAGTTCTACCGAAGATGTACAGCTCGGGCACTCCCTTGATAGTTTTTGTTTTGCAGACTGAAGACCGACTTCGTCGTTCGAAAGCAAGATGACCCCGAACCCACGTCGCACTAACGACTCCGCAAGACCGAAGCCAATCCCTCCGCTAGATCCTGTGATCAGTGCATAAGGTTTTGGTCTGTCAGACCTACCATGCGAAGGGAGAGCGGGCCTATAGGCTGCAAGGGGATCTTGAGAAACTGTGAAATGAAATAAGAGAAAGTCGATAAGTCGATATAAAGCCCCGCAAATGGTCAATAGGCCGAGGGTGCTTGTAGCTTGTAGGAAGATGCTTGGGAAGATCTCGATCATGGTGAAAATAGTACTCGGTACTTTTCATGACCCTACCACAGGAGGAACGCGAAAGAGAGAGAGAGGAGTGCACACCTTTTATTACCTTGTGGACTAGATGATTGGGAGTTAGGAAGAAGGTGCCTTGAGTCTGAGCAGAACAGGCGTCCCATATGCCAAGCTCAAGTAGCCACCAAATTCCGAAGGACTGGTAATAACCATCCCTCAATCTTGAGAGGGAATAACCAGAGTAGGCTAGTATATACGAACTTGATGAACTGGCAGTTGTTGCTTTCTATGGAATCTGGCTCTGTGATCAAGCAGACGAATACGGTAATGATCACAGCGCCACAAGGAGATGAGTATCTCAGTGGAACTAATGCTTCACCGTATGACGAGCATTACAGCTTATATGCTTCACCGTACTCCTGGACTGTGCCTTGCCCGTCCGAATTTACTAGACGCGTTTTGACAGTCGCGGCTGGAGGGCAGTAGAAAGTAGGATTGGCCTGGAGGTTGGTGACTTCCCCATCTCCGCATCCCTGTCCCATACTTTCCTTTGCTCGAAATGTTCCTCAGAGATAATACTCTTACTCTCCACGTCCACACTCTCGAATACATTGCAAATCCTTCACTTTCCATCAGAAACGAGTTTTCATGTTGATCCTGCGCACTATCTAATTGACCGACTCCAAGTACGGGCCCTAGACCCACGAAGATGGCCTCTCGCGATCCCTCTCCTGCGGCTTCTGAAGGTGACACCATTGACGACCAGAACGAAGATGTCAAGCCCGATGTAACAGACCTGGACCAGGACATGGACCAGGATCAGTCTCATCTCACCGACGACCACCCGACCACTCGCACCCCGGGATCCAGCCGCCGAGGTGGCCGTTCAAAGACTGCAAGTGGTCGAAAAGCAAAACCAAGAAAAGGCGCAAGTGCTATCTGGATACAAGAACAACCAAATGATGCTACCGAAGATGAGGGAAGTGTGATCTCCACGTCCTACTCGCGGACCAAGAAATCCGAAGCCAGCCCCGAATCCGAGCCCCGTACTGTCGGCACAGCCGTCGGTACAAGGAGGCAAGCCAATGGCACCGTGGGCTCGGTCTACTCAGGAAGTAAGATCAGACATATTAAGAAACCAGATGGCACACCATTATGGCGAAAAGAGATACAATACGAGTTTCTACGGATTGTCATTGAGGACACACAACCAGTGTTCACTAGGATTAGCGATGGGAAAACTCAGTGCAATTTTGCCGACATCTACGTCGACTGCATGGCCAGGAGCTCCAAAACGAGCAAGATCCTGAAGGACAGACTCCAGGTCGATCGAGAAGCCGCTCAAAATATGGCCATGATATGTCTGCTGGTTAACGTCGGCCGAATGAATACGACCTTGAACTTCTTCCCAGAAATGAGAGCACAATTGAGGACCTATCACTCGATTCCTTCCTTGCAGGCCTACAAAAGCCAGCGAAACTACAAGTCGCTTCAAGATGCCCCCAGGCTTAAAAGTATCTTGAAGGGTGCCAGCGAAGATACCGACGAACCTCGAACCATCCCTGCCATCATGGCCAAGTCAATCCCGCGCACAAATCCCGTTAACCTCATATTTGTACTCTCTCAGTTTGCTCCTAAGGTCAGCGAAACGCACTTTACGGACAAAGTTGATTTCTTTGACATGGCTATGCGCCATACCATTTCCTCAGCGAGCAGAGCAAGAGCATTCTTGTGGTTGATGTGGTGGTACCTTGAGTCCAATTTCACAAAAGAGGACGGCCTCAACAACCCCTTCGGACCTGGCGAGTACAAAGAAGATGAGGACCCCGACGATCCTGATACAGTTCCTCAACTGGTACCCAAATTGATCAACATCACACCCGAGGAGGGCGATGCAGAGAACGTAGATCCAGAAGAAGAAGTCAAATTTGCTGACAAGATGACCAAGGAGCGAAAGCGTATCATGGAAGAGGTCGCCAGTGAACCGCCATTAGTCATGGCAGATCCAGGCAATCCTGACCACAAGCTCTTGAAACGCTTGAAGAAGGGCGCTTTTTATGGTGGCGATGAGGATTCGTTAATGTCGGATACCGACTCCAGAGCAAGCCCCGGTATCGGACGGTCACCAATTCCTGACCTTAGACCACACGGTCACATCATGAGCGCTCTAGGTGGCCAGGCTGACAGTCTTGATGACGATTGGGATGTTGTTGATCCACATCCTGGACGAGGTCGCTACAAGCGGGTACGGGGTAAAAATACGCCAACGAGAACTCGAGGTGTTGGGAGACATAGTGATGGTCCCCGAAGCCTCCTAAAATCGAGCCGTAGAGTCGGTACACCTGACACCGTTGAGCGCTCCAGAGGGACGCCACAACCATTGCAGCCAGGTCAGTCTACATTGAGTATGTTCGATCTTAATGC